CCTCTCTCTGATCACCACCTCTTATCGTTTGCTCTCACGTACCCCCTCACCCAACAACCTCCACCTAACCAGCCTCAACTCAGGAGGGACCTTAATTCTCTTGATCTCCAACAGTTGTCAGCTGACATTGATCCACAACTGCTGTCCATCCCTTCCCTATCCTGTCCTTCACTGGCCATCTCCATATATAACTCTTCTCTTACATCTGCCTTGAACACTGCAGCGCCACTCCAAGCAAGCACCTCAAGGAGGACCCGCCCCCAACCGTGGCATACTAAATCAACGCGCTACCTGCAAAGATGCTCCCGGTGTGCTGAACGCTCCTGGAGGAAGTCTCGCACCCAGTCAGACTTTCTCCATTATAGATTCATACTGTGTTCATACAGTGCAGCCCTTGCCCTTGCCAAACAGTCCTATTTTTCCTCTCTCATTAATTCATGTTCCCGCAACCCCAGGCGTCTCTTTGACACCTTTAATTCTCTTCTTCGCCCCGCTGTGGCCACCCCCCAAACCAACCTTACTGCTGATAACTTTGCATGTTACTTCACTGACAAAATTGAAAAGCTAAGGAAAGAATTCTCCCCTCCATGCCTTTCTGTTTCTCAATCACACATTGATCATGCCTTTCCTACCCTTCAGACATTCTCCCCAGCCACTGACCAAGAGGTGGCTGCTCTTCTTTGCTCCTCTCGCCCCACCACTTGCCCGCTCGATCCTGTCCCATCTCACCTTATCAGATCTCTCTCCGCTTGTCTAGTGCCTTCTCTAACACACATCTTCAACTGCTCGCTCTCTTCTGGCATCGTCCCTGCTGACCTTAAACATGCCACTGTAGTACCTATACTAAAAAAACCATCCCTTGACCCATCCACCCCCTCTAACTACCGTCCCATATCCCTGCTCCCTTTTTCCTCAAAGCTTCTGGATAGACTCGTCTTTACCCGTGTGTCTCATTTCCTCAATTCCAACTCTCTCCTTGACCCCCTTCAATCTGGCTTCCGCCCTCTCCACTCTACAGAGACTGCCCTTATCAAAGTTACTAACGACCTAATCGTAGCTAAATCCAAAGGCCACTACTCCATACTAATTCTTCTTGACCTCTCGGCGGCCTTTGACACCGTTGATCATGCTCTCCTTCTTCAAACTCTGCAATCGCTTGGTCTCTGTGACTCTGTCCTCTCGTGGTTTTTCTCTTATCTCTCCCAACGCTCATTCAGTGTCTCTTTTTCTAATGATACCTCCTCCCCTCGCCCTGTCTCGGTTGGAGTCCCCCAAGGCTCCGTCCTTGGTCCCCTTCTATTTTCTCTTTACACTGCCTCTCTTGGCAAACTTATTACCTCATTTGGTTTCCAGTACCACCTGTACGCTGATGACACCCAGCTATATCTCTCCTCCCCGGACCTCTCCCCTGCTGTCCTGCAACGTGTCACTGCTTGCCTTTCTTCCATCTCTGACTGGATGTCCTCCAGCTTTCTGAAACTCAATCTCTCAAAAACTGAGCTCCTTGTCTTTCCTCCTCCTAATACTGATCCTCCTCTCTCGCTCTCCCTTCAAGTTTGTGGTACCAACATCAGCCCATCCTTGCAAGCGCGCTGTCTTGGCGTCATACCTGACTCTGGTCTCACCTTTGAGCCTCACATCCAGCATGTTGCCAAATCCTGTAGATTCCATCTTAAAAACATAGCCCGCATCCGCCCCTTTCTTGCACCAGATGCTACCAAGGAGCTTGTCCATGCTCTAATAATTTCACGCATGGATTATTGTAACCCTCTCCTGCTTGGTCTTCCCAAAAGCCGTACTGCACCCCTACAGTCTGTAATGAATGCTGCTGCTAGACTGATTTTCCTCTCTAGTCGGTTCTCTCACACCTCACCCCTCTGCCAGTCCTTACATTGGCTTCCTGTGTGCTATAGGAGTCAATTCAAGGCACTAACTCACACCTATAGAGCACTGAACAACTCTAGCCCCTCTTATATCTCCTCACTGATCCACAGGTATGTCCCTTCTCGGTCTCTCCGCTCTGCCCGTGACCACCTCCTGTCCGTTGTCCGCACCCGTACGGCCAACTCGCGCTTGCAGGACTTTTCGCGGGCGGCTCCCTTCCTATGGAATAGCCTGCCTACCGCCATCCGACTCTCCCCTAGTCTTGCATCTTTTAAGAAGTGCCTTAAAACCCATCTCTTTAGGGAAGCTTATGGCCTCCAAGACTAACCCCTACCTCACATACCCGTCTCTTGCCCTCTCCTAAAGGGCAGCCCACCTTATTTGATTGCACATTCCTGTCCTAATGTGTTTTACACCCCACCTCCTATAGAATGTAAGCTTGATTGAGCAGGGTCCTCTTCAACCTATTGTTCCTGTAAGTTTATTTGTAATTGTCCTATTTATAGTTAAATCCCCTTTCATAATATTGTAAAGTGCTACGGAATCTGTTGGCGCTATATAAATGGCAATAATAATAATAATAATAATATATTATATTAATAATAATAATAATAATATTATATACTACTGGCTTTCCTAATATGGGGGGGAGGGGGGTGGGATACTGCAATATATTATATTAATAATAATATTATATACTACTACTGGCCTTCCTTCCATGGGGGGGGGATACTGCAATATATTATATTAATAATAATAATAATATTATATACTACTACTGGCCTTCCTACCATGGGGGGGATACTGCAATATATTATATTATATTAATAATAATAATAATATTATATACTACTGGCCTTCCTACCATGGGGGGATACTGCAATATATTATATTAATAATAATAATAATAATAATATTATATACTACTACTGGCCTTCCTACCATGGGGGGATACTGCAATATATTATATTAATAATAATAATATTATATACTACTACTGGCCTTCCTACCATGGGGAGGGATACTGCAATATATTATATTAATAATAATAATAATACTATTATATACTACTGGCCTTCCTACCATGGGGAGGGATACTGCAATATATTATATTAATAATAATAATAATAATAATAATATTATATACTACTACTGGCCTTCCTACCATGGGGAGGGATACTGCAATATATTATATTAATAATAATAATAATATTATATACTACTGGCCTTCCTACCATGGGGGGGGATACTGCAATATGTTATATTAATAATAATAATATTATATACTAATGGCCTTCCTACCATGGGGAGGGATACTGCAATATATTATATTAATTATAATAATCTTATATACTACTGGCCTTCCTTCTATGGGGGGATACAGCAATATAATACATTATATTATTATACACTACATTGCCTGGTCTCCCTTCCATGGGGGAGTGCTGCAATATATTATATTAATATTATACACTACATTGCCTGGTCTCCTTTCCATGTGGGAGTACTGCAATATATTATATTAATATTATATACTACATTGCCTGGCCTTCCTTCCATGGGGGGATACAGCAAGATATATATAAATCATCACTATTATTATCATATTTATATATACTACTTATATTATTATATATACTACAGCAAGATATATTATTACTGCTATTATATTATTGTTATATTTATTTTATATATATATATATATATATATATATATATATATATACACACACACACTACAGCAAGATAGATCATATTATAATATATACTATTGTTACTATTATTATTATTATTATTATATACTATTGTATTATTGTATTATTATTATTATATATACACACTATAGGCAGGTTATACACGACTATTATTTTACATACACTGAACAAAATTATAAACGCAACACTTTTGTTTTTGCCCCAATTTTTCATGAGCTGTACTCAAAGATCTGTACACAAAAGGCCTATTTCTCTTAAATATTGTTAACAAATCTGTCTAAATCTGTGTTAGTGAGCACCTCTCCTTTGCCGAGATAATCCATCCACCTCACAGGTGTGGCATATCAAGATGCTGATTAGACAGCATGATTATTGCACAGGTGTGCCTTAGGCTGGCCACATTAAAAATGTGCAGTTTTATCACACAGCACCATGCCACAGATGTCGCATGTTTTGAGGGAGCGTGCATTTGGCATGCTGACTGCAGAAATGTCCACCAGAGCTGTTACTTGTGAATTGAATGTTAATTTCTCTACCATAAGCCATCTCCAAAGGCATTTCAGAGAATTTGGCAGTACATCCAACCGGCCTCACAACTGCAAACAACATGTAACCACACCAGCCCAGGACCTCCAACTCCACATCCAGCATCTTCACCTCCAAGATCGTCTGAGACCAGCCACCCGGACAGCTGCTGCAACAATCGGTTTGCATAACCAAAGAATTTCTGCACAAACTGTCAGAAACCATCTCAGGGATGCTCATCTGCATGCTCGTCATCCTCATCGGGGTCTCTACCTGACTGCAGTTCGTCATCGTGACCCACTTGAGTGGGCTAATACTTACATTCTATGGCGTCTGGCATTTTGGAGAGGTGTTCTCTTCACGGATGAATTCTGGTTTTCACTGTACAGGGCAGATGGCAGACAGCGTGTATGGCATTGTGTAGGTGAGTGGTTTGTTGCTGTCAATTTTGTGGATCAAGTGGCCCATGGTGGCGGTGGGGTTATGGTACGGGCAAGTGTATGTTATGGACAATGAACACAGCTGCATTTTATTGATGGCATTTTGAATGCACAGAGATACCGTGACTAGATCCTGAGGCCCATTGTTGTGCCATTCATCCACCACCATCACCTCATGTTGCAGCATGATAATGCACAGCCCCATGTTGCAAGGATCTGTACACAATTCCTGGAAGCTGAAAACATCCCAGTTTTTGCATGGTCAGCATACTCACCAGACATGTCACCCATTGAGCATCGGTGTATACGACAGCGTGCTCCAGGTCCTGCCAATATCCAGCAACTTCCTACGGCCATTGAAGAGGAGTGGACCAACATTCCACAGGCCACAATCAACAACCTGATCTACTACATGCGAAGGAGCTGTGTTACACTGCGTGAGGCAAATGGTGATCACACCAGATACTGACTGGTTTTCTGACCCTCCCTGATCCCCCTGGACCCTTCCAATACAGTAAAACTGCACATTTTAGAGTGGCCTTTTATTGTGGCCAGCCTAAGGCACGCCTGTGCAATAATCATGCTGTCTAATCAGCATCTTGATATGCCACACCTGTGAGGTGGATGGATTATCTCGGCACAGATTTAGACAGATTTGTGAACAATATTTGAGAGAAATAGGCCTTCTGTGTACACAGAAAAAGTCTTAGATCTTTGAGTTCAACTCATGAAAAATGGGGGCAAAAACAAAAGTGTTGCGTTTATAATTTTGTTCAGTGTATATTATATTCACATAGAATGCTGATAGAGTACCGACCCTGCAGCTCCCATACTGCACCTATAGCTTGTATATAGAGGGTGCTGAAACTATCCTAGATGGCTCTCGCAGCAAGCTTTACGTGACCTTCATGGGCTCGTCCCACTAATGCACAGATACAGTCTCACGCTGTCACACACACAGTCTGTCAGGTTACACATCGAGTACACTGTCACTCAGTCTGTCAGGTTACACATCGAGTACACTGTCACTCAGTCTGTCTGGTTACACAGCAAGTACACTGTCACACAGTCTGTCAGGTTACACAGCGAGTACACTGTCACACAGTCTCAGTAATTCTCTGTCTATTTTTCAGGAAGGTATGCTGTGCCTCTGAGGGTTTCCAAATTGATGTCTGGTAGGTGCGACCTACTCACAGACCTTTCCAACCAGACGTAATATGAGTAATTTAATGCCTGTTGGTTTTTGCAGGGTGACTTTCTGGGGGTCCACTCTCCCTTCTCACTGTTTTGCAGGTTATTGTGATGGCACATGTTAGCCCTGAACTGGAAAACATGGAAGTTCACACCCCCCCAAATAATAACAACAGGTGGGATCCTACAGAGCACCCATGGGATGAACCTGTCGCGACAGGAAAACTGTTTGAATGCTCCCGGATAAAAGCATTGGCAGGTAGATCATCTCATTATAAACACAGGGGTATGTTGGGCAGATATAGTGATATAGAAAGGGTAGTAGATACCTGAAATAGCCTACCAGTGGGAGCAATAAGGCTAACAGTGATTTAGAAAGGGTAGTAGATACCTGGAATAGCCTTCCAGTGGGAGCAGTAACAGTGATATAGAAAGGGTAGTAGATACTTGGATTAGCCTTCCAGCGGAAGCAGTAAAGGATAACCGTGATATGGAAAGGGTAGTAGATACCTGGAATGGCCTTCCAGTAGCAGCAGTAAAGGCTAATAGTGATACAGAAAGATTCCAAGAATAGCCTGGAATAGTGTTTAGTATAGCCTCCATGTATAATATGTTAAGTCATTAGACTTTAATAGTTCAGTAAAGGGAGTGAAGCAGGAAAGACCATAGAGACTGTCACATGGAAACACTGTCTGACACAATGTATATGGTTAAAGGATCCTGTTATATACTAAAGGTAGGGATGTACTAAACTTTAAGAACAAAACGATTTCATTTCAAGAATAGATGAAAGGATTATGATGTTAGAATCTAGTTTAAGGTATCAGGTGTCCTTTAAGAAGATAATATGAAATGTGGGGTGTGCTCCCAGTCTCTGACTTCATCCTTCTCTTTTTGTTTAGATGAACGAGACGCAGTCCAAAAAAAGACCTTCACCAAGTGGATGAATTCTCACCTGTCCAAGGTGCCGTGCCGGGTCACTGACCTCTACAATGACCTTCGAGATGGGTACATCATCACCAAACTGCTAGAAGTGCTCTCGGGAGAGCAGCTGGTGAGATCACATAAAATGCCTTGGCAAAATGTATGTATTTCGATTTGCCACATTTATATAAAACTGTAATGTTATTAACCTCCGTAGGATAAACTTATATTCGGCTGATTAATACACCCACTAATTCATGCAGAACCAGTTATATTATAATAGACCGCTTGCTTGAGGAAACTACTTGTGTGTAGGTAGCGGTTATCGTGTGGTGTAAACCATAACAATCCCCCAAATCGCTCAATTCCCCCCCAATAAAACTAGGAAACGTATATGTGGTATAAAAAGGCCACAGCTTTATTTATAAATTAACAAACAACTGTAAATAAACCAACCATAAATAATTTAGGTGTAAGTATGCTTATCTTCAAACTAGTCCTTGCCAACCGTACCACCAAAACTCTAGGGTACACCCCCCACCAAGGCATCGGCCCTCGTCCAAGATACCTGGCCTTCACTTTGGCCTTCAAACTCCACATGCCAACCCCTGGCCACCTTTCCTGGCACGGAGGGCACGCCCAAATACCCAAACATTTTCCGAGGTCAGGGGAGGGACCCGACCCAGCATCTTTCTTTTCCTGTACTCCTCTTCCCAATAGGTTCGGCAAGGACCATACCCGCCGGCTGTGACAAGAAAATCATTAATGATATACAGACAAACAACACAAAACGGAAAAAGGGGAGGGAGGGAGGGGAATAGTTACCTTGCCGTTAGATTTAAGATGGCTGAGGTAAAAGACAAAATGTCACCTATTTATATAACCCCACCCTACTCCTTAGCTAAATCACACCCCCATTTTTTCACCACACCCACCACACCCACACATGCCTCCTATCCGGCTAGCATTCAGCCCGCCTCCTCTGGGCCTTGTGTGTAGGTAGCGGTTATCGTGTGGTGTGACCCCATTACACCCCCAAATCCATTCACTTCCCCCCAATCAAAACTAGGAAACGTATATGTGGTATAAAAAAGGCCACAGCTTTATTTATAAATTAACAAACATATTTAAATAAACCAACCATAAATAATTTCCAGGTGTAAGTATGGTTAGATTCAAACTAGTCCTTGCCAACCGTACCACCAACCCTCTAGGGTACACACCCCACCAAGGCATCGGCCCTCCCCCCTCGTCCAAGATACCTGGCCTTCACCTTGGCCTTCCAATTCCACATGCCAACCCCTGGCCACCTTTCCTGGCACGGAGGGCACGCCCAAATACCCAAACATTTTCCGAGGTCAGGGGAGGGACCCGACCCAGCATCTTTCTTTTCCTGTACTCCTCTTCCCAATAGGTTCAGCAAGGACCATACCCGCCACTAGCCCCCAGCTGCATTTACGCCTAAATCAGCGGGCGCGACCCCCAAGCAACGCCATGGCCTGCTCCAACGCGTCCTGTAGCGCTAAATTAAATAAGTCCAAGCCTACATCAGTTAGATGGACCCCGTCCGGGCGAAAATAGATTGCTGCCTCGCGCTCAAAAATACGGTGTCGCACTGTTAAGCCCCCGACGCCTAGGACAAATTTGGAAACCCGCTTATTAATCTTGACCCTGCAGTGCTCAATAGCACCCTGATCGCGTGCGCACTTCCAATAGTTCCTAGAAACGATATCCGACCATATTAAACAAAGTCGTGGAAAAAGCACACGCAAGCGCGCCAAATCTCGCCTGATGAGTTCCCCCAGCCCCCACGCAGGCAGGGACCCCAGATCGTTCCCCCCCAGATGCACCACCAAGATGTCCGGGGCTCCTAATAAAGTGGATAACTGCACGACCTCCGGTAATAGCTGACCCCATCTCATGCCCCGGAACCCGAACCACCGGACTTCCGCCAGCTCCCGAGGTATTCCGAGCCGTGTCCCACCCGGGCGTACCATTATTACGTGGACATGTGCCTCCCGATGGGTTGTGCGATATCCTGTTTTTACTTCGAATGTTTTAGTTCCTTCATGGAATGGGTATATTAGAGCGGAATCCGGTTACGATTCCTTGCTTCACTACCTGGATGACTTTTTCTGTGTTGGCCCTGCGCGCTCCCCGATATGCGCGCACCTCCTGCAAGCAGTAGCGGATGTTGCTTGCGAGTTCGGAGTGCCGCTGGCACCAGAAAAAACAATTGGCCCTTCTACGTGCCTGTGCTTTCTCGGGATCGAGATTGATTCCGTTGTTGGTGAATGTCGGCTTCCATTGGATAAATTGGCTGATCTTCGGGAGGTGGTGCGAGTGGCGACCACTTTGCGAAAAATTACGTTGCAGCGACTTCAATCCCTATTGGGCAAATTGAACTTTGCCTGTCGGATTATGCCGATGGGCAGGGTGTTCAACCGGCGCCTTGCTACGGCTGGGATTTTGAAACCGTCTCACTTCGTCCGCTTGACCAAGGCGCTCAGGGAGGACTTGGCAGTATGGGCAGTCTTTTTGGATGGGTACAACGGTAGGTCCTACTGGCAGCAGCCCGAGGTGACGAACTCGGTGCTGCACCTGTTTACGGATGCCGCGGGGTCTTCGGGCTTTGGGGCTATCATGGGAAGGCAATGGTGTGCGGAGCCCTGGCCCGAATCGTGGTTAACCTCTGGCCTGACCAAGAACATGGCTTTCTTGGAACTCTTCCCCATTGTGGTGGCTATCCATCTTTGGGGGCCAGAGATCAAGAACAGGCGTGTTGTGTTCCACTGTGACAACCTGGGCGTTGTCCAGGCCATTAATAGGCTACCCCCCGAACCCCCCAACCCCCTCCCGAAATCCCCGGTGGCCTGCGGCCCACTTACCGCCCTGGAAGGAGAGGTGGATGCAGGCCCAACCTGTGCGCGCCCTGCCCGAGATCCGGAGGGGGCAGAGCGCACATCAGGCACCCGGCGCGCCGGCCGGGCTGGATTAGCGGACCGGGAGCTCGCGGCCGCCCTTCTGAGGGCCCGCGAGCCGATGGTAAGAAGTCCTGGGCGGCTGTCACCTCCCCGAGCAGCGGCCGCCAGACGGGCACTGCGCGACCGCCTCGGGGAGGAGGAGAGAGGCTGCAGAGATGTGCCGGCCACGGCCACATGAGAGCTGGCGCGCGTGCCGGCACTGGGGATCCCACTCCCGTCCCTCACCCGGCCCTCTCGCGAGGGAGGATGGCTGATGGCAGCTCCGGCCGCGGCCGCGTGGGAACTGGCCCGCGGACCGGCAGCTGTGCTCCTGCCTCCAGCCCCCACCCAGCCTTCCTGTGAGGGGCTCGGGGAGGAGGCAGGAGAATGCCTGGTGTCAGCGCCGGCCGCGGCCGCGTGGGAACCGGCCCGCGGACCGGCAGCTGGGCTCCTACTTCTGGCCCCCACCCGGCCCTCCTGTGAGGGGCTATAACGGGTGGGGGGACGCGCCCGGCGGCGCGGGGCTCCATGGCTGCCGGGAGGGGGAGCAGCTACCACAGAGGCACCCTGCAGCCTTGCCAGCTGGGCCTGCAGGTGCCTGCCACCGTCCTGGAGGGCCTCAGCCCTAAGGGCAGCAAGGATGCCTTCAATATCCATGCTCCTGGCCATGAGGTAAGCAAAGTAACTAAGGGCTAGCACAGGGGACTAGTTACCTTGCCGTTAAATTTAAGATGGCTGAGGTAGCAGACAAAATGTCACCTATTTATATGACCCCACCCTACTCCTTAGCTAAATCACACACCCATACTTCCACCACACCCACCACACCCACACATGCCTCCTATCCGGCTAGCTTTCAGCCCGCCTCCTCTGGGCCTGGGTGTGCCTAGAGTCACTGTGGGGTTTGCCCTCCCTTCCTGGAGCACCCAGTGGGAATACTCCCTAATTCAACGTGTGCATTACTCAAATTATGTACAAAACCAACGAAAAGGAACAGGGCAGTAACCAACCGAGGGTAAGGTAGGGTAATAGCTGCTTGATCCAAGGAGACATGTGACTGATATTCTGGGGTCAAAAAGGAATTTTTTCCTAGTTTGTTGCAAAATTGGAAGCTCTTCAGACTGGGTTTTTTTTTTGCCTTCTTTTGGATCAACATCAAAAACCAAATGTGAGGAAGGCTGAACTTGATGGACACAAGTCTCTTTTCAGCTATCCGTCTATCTCCACAAATATAAAACTACTTACACAAATAAAAATGGCCATTGTGCTGAAACTATGAGAATTCAAGGACAAGTTCAAATTTAAGGCCAGAGTAGACAACATGAAAGCATACCTGGCTTACAGGGACACTCCAGTTCCCCAGAGGACTTCAGCTTGCTCACAAAAAATACAGATTTGAATAGAAATTGTCACTTTTCTAAATTACCTTGTTACTCCCCCCTTCTCATTGAGCTGCATTGGGAAGCCTGTGATTGGACAGAAGCAAAAAGTGTAGGCGGGTTTAGAAGGGGAGGGTTTGCAAAGGCTGCAGACATGAGATCTACAGCTTTTGCAATTTGTTTTAGATATAGCCCAATAAACAAAATGCAGCACTAAATTCATAAATGTTTTCATTTGGGGTATATCTGCTAAACAGTGTGTAGCGGAGGCCTTATATTTCACAGGTTAACTCCACTAAGATCCCAGTGAGGCTCAGGAACAAGTGATGAAAAATCCCATAAAGTAATAATTCCAGCAAGCAAGGTAATCCACGAATATCCCCATACAGATCCCAATGACTGGATGACACACAGCATCAGGAGCAGAACTAACTTTTATTCCACACAACCTCATTTTAAGCATTCTCCCATGCAAGGGAGGGATTCACATTCATTAGTACAGTATCCAGTGGAATAGCAGTTACCTCCCACACAGCTCCTCCCCTCAGTATGACACTTAATCCTATTACACAGGTTATAGTTTTCCCCAAGTTCTGGATGTACCCTAAGATCAGCAGATACACCAATACTTTGGGTACCCCCTGGTAGCCCTGATCTGGGTGACCAACATATCCAAAATTCACCCAGATCAGACCAGGGGTTCGGGAGTTAGGTGGAGGGTATAATTTGACCGACCGCACACGAGGTGGTACCCGAAAAGGGTTCCATGTGTTTTGGCCCTGAGGTCGGTCTCCGTTCGGGAGTTGAAATAGATATAAAAAGCTGCCATCCACGAATACTATTACATTCGTATGACTCCCCTCATTCGTTACTTTAAACTTACTGAACGGGGGGCTGATTCGCCTTCCCGTTCGGGAGTTACGGAGCTCTGGAGGTGTCAGCGGTGTTCGGGTAATCGAGTGTTCGATTTGAGTTCCAGACACTCGACAACCAAACACCGCTGAACCTTTTGTGCGTTAGATGGCCGCAGCCACGTGTTCGTATGCCGAATGGCGGCCACCCAAATACATACATAAAACACCTATTAGTCTGCGGTTAGCGAGAAGTGTGCAGCTTAACGAGGGACACACTTCGCTCTGGGGTGGTCTATTGGTTCGATAGTTTCCATTCGTATGGAATACGAATGGAAACTACCGAACAATTACACGAATTCTACTTACAATTAACTATACAGCAGTAATAACACACGAATTGCAGGATTCTCATAGTCTTTAAGGACAGCCATAGTACCATCCGCCACACAGTGATTTTATAAAAAATATATTTTGCAGTGGAATGCCAAATTAAAGAATTTTCCCAGTTTGGTTATTTTGAACATAAATGTAAAATTCACTTCTAATTCCTACTATAGTGAATAGCCCTGTATAATGCAGCACTACATGTGAAGTAGAGGGTAAAATACTATAAAACATGATGAGGTAATATACGGTCTCTGGTGAAACACTGAGGGCTTAGTCGTCACCTGTTTAGCGCAACATCCTTTTTAATATCTGTATTCATGTATACGGGTTTTACACTAAATATAATCCCCACTTCCATCTCAAATATTTTCCATCATAAGACATTTTACAGAAAAAGCGTTATGGGCTCCCTTGTCTTCCCAGCGTCCCAACGCAAGGGGCAGCTTGTTATCTCTATTTCTTGCTACACTTGGACATTGATGGGGAAAATGCAGGGAATCCTATGGAATTTTCATTTGCATCGAAGCAGGGTCGTCAACTACATATTGTTTCTGTAAAATATTGTAATTGCCTCACATATTATTACATTTCCCCCTTTATGACATTGTAAAGCTCTGTGGTATATGTTGGCGCTATGTAAGTGCCAATAATAAAGGGGGGGGGAGGGGTACGTTTTGCTGCACACTGTCAGACCCAGTTATTAGAACTCAGTTTCGTCTCTTTACTTTTAAGTGAAAGACTATTTTTTGTGTCAGGCAAAGTGTTCATTAAAGTGTTTTATATTACACATAAGTGGAGAAGGCCAACATAACTTATTATATAGACTTATCTGAACAGAAATAGATTTTTTTTTATGCAGAATGGTGTCTTATCCAATGTAAGTAATATTGTACGTGCTATTCAGTATTATGGAGTTAAAGGGACACATCAAAACAACTTTATCTTAATGAAGCCGTTTTGCTGTGTAGATCATGCCTCTGAAGTTTCACTGCTCAATTCTCTGCCATTTAGGAGTTAAAGGGACACTGTAGGCACACAGACCACTTGGGCTCATTTTTTATGGGGTTCCTGTATTATTTTCATGTAAAATATACATGTTAGTTTCTGTGTTTGAGAAATAATTGAATTATCCTAATTTGGGCTTAATTATCTCCCAAACACAGAGGCTCTTGGGAAGAAACCCTTGTGTTCTTGATATGAAAATCCTATGCTAGGGGCCAGTGTATAAAAGCTGTGTGTGGCAGAATAAACTTCAGTTTTACTCCCAGAACTGTGTCTCGTCCAGTTGCTGGGGAGGAGGTGGGCTATTTACTTGGCAATGTCTTGTTCTTGATTTCTACCCTTGGGGATCCAACAGAGGAGAGTACTGGACAGGACTAGGGCTCTGCTACAATCCCTTCAGCCCCGCAGGAGTGGGCGCGAGAGAGGGGGGCACTTTTTAAACCTATACTGCCAGGAAAACGGCTTTGATTTCCTAGCACTATAGAATCCCTTTAAATCACTTTGTTTATATTTATGCAGCGCTAGCCAAACAGAATTTGCAGTTAAGGAAGTTGAAACATTAGATGACACTTTACAGGAAGTGTTTAGGAAGACTATGTAAGTCACATGCAGGGAGGTATGACTTGAGCTGCATAAGCAAACTGATTTAACTCCCAAATGGCAGAGAATGGAGCGGTTAGACTGCAGGAGAATACTCTATATACTAAAACCGCTTCATTAAGATAAAGTTGTAATTTTTAAAACTTACTCTGACCATTAAGGTTTAAATAAATGCTAATTTGATTGCGGATTGGGTTTGGCCTGGTGATAGTACATTACTTTTTACCACTAGGTGTCAGTATTGTACTATCATGTTTGAGTACAGGCCGCTGAATGCAGTCTGAGTCTGACCGGATGGGATATATTAGTTTATCATTTGGCAGAAGATTTGCATAATGCGGTTAGGCTTTTTGAGTTATTTTACCCAGACCCTAGTTTATTAAATCTTTAATAAACAGGAGTATGTCAATAAATACCCATATAACCTGAAGTCTGTGTGTGTGTGTATGTTGCTGTGTGTACATGGTAACTGGTAGCTGTGTGTATATCGCATATTCTAGCTGTGTGTATATCGCATGTTCTAGCTGTGTGTATATCGCATGTTCTAGCTGTGTGTATATCGCATATTCTAGCTGTGTGTATATCGCATATTCTAGCTGTGTGTATATCGCATATTCTAGCTGTGTGTATATCGCATGTTCTAGCTGTGTGTATATCGCATGTTCTAGCTGTGTGTATATCGCATGTTCTAGCTGTGTGTACATGGTGACTGGTAGCTGTGTGTATATTTCATGTTCTAGCTGTGTATATCGCATGTTCTAGCTGTGTGTACATGTTGACTGTTAGCTGTATGTATATCGCATGTTCTAGCTGTGTGTACATGTTGACTGTTAGCTGTATGTATATTGCATGTTCTAGCTGTGTGTATATCGCATGTTCTAGCTGTGTGTATATCGCATGTTCTAGCTGTGTGTACATGGTGACTGTTAGCTGTATGTATATTGCATGTTCTAGCTGTGTGTACATGGTGACTGGTAGCTGTGTGTATATCTCATGTTCTAGCTGTGTGTATATCGCATGTTCTAGCTGTGTGTACATGTTGACTGTTAGCTGTATGTATATTGCATGTTCTAGCTGTGTGTATATCGCATGTTCTAGCTGTGTGTACATGGTGACTGTTAGCTGTATGTATATTGCATGTTCTAGCTGTGTGTACATGGTGACTGGTAGCTGTGTGTATATCTCATGTTCTAGCTGTGTGTATATCGCATGTTCTAGCTGTGCGTGTGTCACATGTTTACTCTGTTTCCAGCCTAAACCAACACGTGGCCGAATGAGGATTCATTCTCTGGAGAACGTGGATAAGGCTTTGCAGTTCCTCAAGGAACAGAGAGTTCACCTGGAAAACGTGGGGTCCCACGATATCGTGGATGGGAATCACCGTCTCACGCTCGGCCTGATCTGGACTATAATCCTTCGCTTCCAGGTCTGTCTGTCTGTGTCTTTATTTGAAAGATACGTTCCACTCCTTGTGTGTTTTACAGCACTATTCTGACTGCTAATAGTGTCCAGATATGTTTTCTGGAAAGTCTTTAAAGCCCCATTCGTTCAGGAGATCTTTAACCCACTCCACCCCCTACTCTAGATCCAGGTTATAAAGATAGAATCCGAGGACAATCGTGAGACCAGGTCAGCGAAAGATGCCCTTCTCTTGTGGTGCCAGATGAAGACAGCGGGGTAAGTTCCAACGTATCTAGGGCATTACAAGGGACCTTATTGGGTCATTTGATTTCCATCACTGAACATTTCTATAATCCAGGATTTTGCACATTCTGTAACACTTTCTTCCGTGTTTCTAGATATCCAGAAGTTAATATCCAGAACTTTACTACTAGCTGGAGAGATGGTTTGGCATTCAGTGCTCTTATTCACAGACACAGGTAAAGTGATTGAACATCTGCTCAGGGTTCCATTGGAGATCTTACCGGGATCTATTAAGTACTATCACTACCTCTCTATGTCCTCCTGGGATCTGCTCTATAGAACTGAACACAATACTCTAGGTGAGATCTTACCGGGGATCTATAAAGTACTATCACTACCTCTCTATGTCCTCCGGAGATCTGCTCTATAGAACTGAACACAATACTCTAGGTGAGATCTTACCGGGATCTATAAAGTACTATCACTACCTCTCTATATCCTCCTGGGATCTGCTCTATAGAACGGAACACAATACTCTAGGTGAGATCTTACCAGGGATCTATAAAGTACTATCACTACATCTCTATGTCCTCCGGAGATCTGCTCTATAGAACTGAACACAATACTCTAGGTGAGATCTTACCGGGGATCTATAAAGTACTATCACTGCCTCTCTATGTCCTGGGATCTGCTCTATAGAACTGAACACAATACTCTAGGTGAGATCTTACCAGGGATCTATAAAGTACTATCACTACCTCTCTATGTCCTCCTGGGATCTGCTCTATAGAACTGAAAAGTGGTTTTATCTGTTTTGCAAATTATTCTTTGAGTTCGTATACATCCATTGTGTTCTCTACGCCCACAGACCCGATATCATTGACTTCAGCAAGCTAACTAAGTCAAACGCCGCATACAATCTCCAGCACGCATTTAACACGGCTGAACAACAACTTGGGCTCATCAAACTGCTGGATCCTGAGGGTAAGTGACACTTTTGGAGGAAGATTGTGTCATCCTACGCCTCCTAAATTTTATATAAAACCATCTATGTTTGAGTTAAGGAGTGGCAAAAGGGCTTCCCCTCAAGTGTTTTTAGAACTACAACTCCCACGATGCTTTGCAAGCCTGGTGCCTACAATAATTCAATAATTGGGGTGTTGAGGAATGGTGGAGGGTTAAAGTTGTGTCTGATATGTTCTCTGTGTAACTTATGCTGTTTATTAAATCTTGCCCCATCAGACTGTAATGTAAATATCCCATCACTGAACCAGTAGAAGGTTAAAGTAGGCCCTGCCAGTTTGGAAATAAAACCTTTAGAATAATCAGCAACATTTAAAGAGCAGCTTTTAACAAACCTCAACCCTTAAAAACCTGTACAATTGGATTTATCGTGGTTTTTAAATGGTAAAAACATATGAAATATCACTGTGTTCGTTTCTCTCCATTTACACAAAATGTAATGATTAAAAAAGAGGATGAACGGGTCAGGTGCAGGAATTGGTGGTTAGTCCATAAAATGAGCGGCCAAACCTGCGTTCCATATTATTCCGGTTTGTCTCTTTTGGATTACAATGTGCTATTCTCAGGCAATTTCCAAATAAAAAGTCTGTAGTGTTTTATACTGTGCTGAGTTCCATACACTGAGTACAATAATTACCGAGCCCAGAGAACTGCAATACTTCTTCCCAATAGCCGTTTCTGCTGTAACTGTCCTGTCTTATTGCTCCTTTCTAAAGATGTCAATATGGAGAACCCAGATGAGAAGTCCATTATTACGTACGTCGTATCATTCTACCATTACTTCTCCAAGATGAAAGCTTTGGCGGTGGAGGGCAAACGCATTGGGAAGGTAATCCTATAGCCTAACATGGAGTATACACTGGGGGTGACCAGGGAATAGACTTCCAGCTGATTCAGTACTTCAACTCCCAAGATGCTTTGCCAGGTGGTGCAGTGCTATATTCTGGTGGAACGTTGCCGTAGCACAGTGGTCTGTGGTCAGTTAATATCTGCTCCCATATCTGCAAAATAACTCAGAAGCCTCTTGTTTCTTCCAGGTGTTGGACAAGGCAATTGAGATCGAGAAAGACATTGCTCGCTATGAGGGTCTGGTTTCCGAGCTCCTGGAATGGATTGAGAGAACCATATCTATTATAACCAATCAGAAATTCGCCAACTCCTTGCAGGGCGTCCAACAGCAGCTTCTGGCGTTTACCACCTACTGTACCACCGAAAAACCCTGCAAGTGAGTCACATCTAGCACAGCAGGATCTGAAAGGGACCGTCGCTGCAAAGAACAGGCGCACAAATCTGCCCAAATATTTCAAATAATAAAATAAATAAAAATAAAGACTATTTAGTAAATATACTCCCAATGAAAACATGAATTTGTTTAATTATGCAGTCCTAATGAAATCTGCTCTTTTTGTAAAAATGAAAAAAGACAAATTAAAGGATTTCAGCAAATAAAGTGCTTTAGGTGTTTGGAGTGTTCCTTTAAGACACTTTTTGGGGATCTCCATTTAACACATTACTTATCTGAATTTTCTTCCCACTGCTGATGGAATTGACATCCTCTCCAATATTCCTGCTTTGGTAAATAGCCCTATTATATTAACAGACTTGCAGAACGTGGGCCAAGAATCACAGTTTGCTTTAGCTGAAAATTCTAAATAATTTGCTTTTTAGTGAATAATCCCCAATGTGTTTTTTTTGTTTGTTTTTTTTAGGTTTCAAGAAAAAGGAAACTTGGAGGTTTTGCTCTTCACAATTCAGAGCAAGATGAGAGAGGAAAAATGTAAGCTGTACGTCCCAACGGATGGGAAAACCATTTCAGACATCAACAAGGTGAGAGCCATTCACTGCGGTGTGGATTAGCCGGAATTTAACATTTTAGTAAACATTAGGGGAATGGAAGATTTAGCTAACTTGGAGACTTATTTTTAAAAAATCAGTTGCTGATATATGAAATGTGCTTAGAATTCTCACCAATTTCCACCTAATGAATAACCTGTTATTTTTACACAATAAATGGTGTAAAGTAGTGACAGCTGTTACTGCACTGCCAGACATGGGTTACATGTTGGTGACCGAGGGAGAGAGGAGAGGCAGATCTACGTCTCATCCTTTGTGGCACTGCGGTCCTCTGCTTTTATCATTAGATCCCCCAGGAGCCGGCCTCACTGATGTGTTCCGCAGTAAAAGAGATTTGTGCATGCGCAATGAGAAGCCATAGGCCTCTGTTACGCTAGTCACTGCCTGCTCCCATGGTGGAACGCGCTGTAAGCTCCCCTCCTGGCATGCATTGTCAATTGGTGTCCCTATATCTTCTGATTGTGTTAGAATTTCAGTCAAATTGCAAAGCAGTCAAATATGGTATCTTTAAAAAAATTACCGTGCCGCTTAACATGGACACTTTATTCACTAAGCACTGTATTGTAGCGAATAGAAAACTGAATTGCAAAATTCAGGCTAAAAAGTCTGAGTTGGTGAATTTTTCCAAATCGGCTATTTTTGCCTACATTTTGGAGTACAGTTTAATCTTTATAACAGTGGTACCCGCCACTCTCCTTGGCATCACTGGGAGGTGATCATTTCTGTGTTTATATGGGAAGTGTATCTGTTCTGGAAGTGGTCTGGTAGGACTTGTTGGTAGCATTGACATTAATGGCTCTCAGTATTCTACATGTCAAACAGCAGAACTTTCAAGAAGGTCTGACATAGTGACTTTAATTCGATTTCTAGGCCTGGACGCGGCTGGAGAAAGCAGAGCATGAACGGGAGGTGGCTTTGCGGAATGAGCTCATTCGCCAAGAAAAGCTGGAGTTACTTTCTCAACGCTTTGACCAGAAAGCAGCCATGAGGGAAGCATGGCTGAGCGAGAATCAGCGTCTGGTTTCCCAGGTAACACGTCACATCTGGGCACTCTCAGCACATTGCTAGTTAATTATTCTAGGTTAGGTGCTCCCGTGCTGCTAAATAATATATTTACATTCACTACACCCTCAACTCCCTATCCCCCCACCCCCCCACTCTCTGGGGAAAAAAGCTGGATTGTTACTTTCTTCTCATTGGAAGGACAATTTTGGTTATGACCTGCCAGCAGTCGAGGCCGCCATGAAGAAACATGAAGCCATCGAGGCCGACATATCCTCCTACGAAGAGCGGATACAGGTTGTGGCGGATCTGGCTCATGAGATGGAGTCGGAAGGATACTACGATATTTGTCGGATCTCGGCCCAGAAGGACAACATTCTCCGTCAGTGGAACCTGCTGAAAGACCTGCTAAGATCCCGCAGGGCCCGACTGGAGCAGAACCTGGCCCTGCAGAGAATATTCCAGGAAATGGTCTATATGATCGACTGGATGGATGAGATTCAGGTATAATGGACTGGGGCCACACAGATTTGGGGGCCAGAGCTTTGCTCAGAGGTGTGAAAAGGCATTCTGGTGTCCTCTCTCCATAGGTCCAGTTATCTTCTAAAGATTTTGGAAAACACCTGCTAGAAGTGGAGGACCTTCTGCAAAAACACAGCCTGCTGGAAGCTGACATTGCTGCACAGACTGATCGTGTTAATTCTCTGAATCAGGCCGCGCTCAGATTTACCCACATCAGCGGTAAGTGTGGGATGGTGTATGAGCACACAGCATATACACTGTGAATCTCTCTGCTCACACACTGTAATATAGAATGTCTCTCTGGCTGCTCACACACTGTAATATAGAATGTCTCTCTGCTCACACACTGTAATATAGAATGTCTCTCTGGCTGCTACTGTAATATAGAATCTCTGGGCTGCTCACACACTGTAATATAGAATGTCTCTCTGGCTGCTCACACACTGTAATATAGAATGTCTCTCTGGCTGCTCACACACTGTAATATAGAATGTCTCTCTGGCTGCTCACACACTGTAATATAGAATGTCTCTCTGGCTGCTCACACACTGTAATATAGAATGTCTCTCTGGCTGCTCACACACTGTAATATAGAATGTCTCTCTGGCTGCTCACACACTGTAATATAGAATGTCTCTCTGGCCGCTCACACACTGTAATATAGAATGTCTCTCTGGCTGCTCACACACTGTAATATAGAATGTCTCTCTGGCTGCTCACACACTGTAATATAGAATGTCTCTCTGGCTGCTCACACACTGTAATATAGAATGTCTCTCTGGCCGCTCACACACTGTAATATAGAATGTCTCTCTGGCCGCTCACACACTGTAATATAGAATGTCTCTCTGGCCGCTCACACACTGTAATATAGAATGTCTCTCTGGCTGCTCACACACTGTAAGATAGAATGTCTCTCTGGCTGCTCACACACTGTAATATAGAATGTCTCTCTGGCTGCTCACACACTGTGATATAGAATGTCTCTCTGGATGCTCACACACTGTGATATAGAATGTCTCTCTGGATGCTCACACACTGTAATATAGAATGTCTCTCTGGGTGCTCACACACTGTAATATAGAATGTCTATCTGGCGGCTCACACACTGTAATATAGAATGTCTCTCTGGCGGCTCACACACTGTGATATAGAATGTCTCTCTGGATGCTCACACACTGTAATATAGAATGTCTCTCTGGCTGCTCACACACTGTAATATAGAATGTCTCTCTGGCTGCTCTCACACTGTAATATAGAATGTCTCTCTGGCCGCTCACACACTGTAATATAGAATGTCTCTCTGGCTGCTCACACACTGTAATATAGAATGTCTCTCTGGCTGCTCACACACTGTAATATAGAATGTCTCTCTGGCTGCTCACACACTGTAATATAGAATGTGTCTGGCTGCGCTCACACTGTAATATAGAATGTCTCTCTGGCTGCTCACACACTGTAATATAGAATGTCTCTCTGGCCGCTCACACACTGTAATATAGAATGTGTCTCTGGCTGCTCACACACTGTAATATAGAATGTCTCTCTGGCCGCTCACACACTGTAATATAGAATGTCTCTCTGGCCGCTCACACACTGTAATATAGAATGTCTCTCTGGCTGCTCACATACTGTAATATAGAATGTCTCTCTGGCCGCTCACACACTGTAATATAGAATGTCTCTCTGGCTGCTCACACACTGTAATATAGAATGTCTCTCTGGCTGCTCACACACTGTAATATAGAAAGTCTCTCTGGCCGCTCACACACTGTAATATAGAATGTCTCTCTGGCCGCTCACACACTGTAATATAGAATGTCTCTCTGGGTGCTCACACACTGTAATATAGAATGTCTCTCTGGCTGCTCACACACTGTAATATAGAATGTCTCTCTGGCTGCTCACACACTGTAATATATAAAGATTCTAAAGGGTACCATACTCTGTAATATATCGAGCTGCTCAGGGCCCCAGTATGCCCACTCAATATGGCACGGAGCTGGTGTTACGTGGTGTGGTGCTCGTGCATGTATCCAGTGGTAATAATTGTGACATTTAGCTTTAAGCTCCAACATACAGAGAATGCTGGTTTGTAAAATAAATCCTCCGTTCTCTGTAATGTCCTTTTAGATTACCAGCCCTGCGATCCGCAGGTCATTTGCAATCGCGTAGACCATGTGAAGAGCTGCCTGGAAAGTCTGTGCCAGCTGGCAGAGAAACGTCGCGGTGAGCTAGAGGAATCACGTCGCCTCTGGTGCTTCCTGCAAGAGATTGAGGAGGCTGAGGGCTGGATCCGGGAGAGAGAACAGATCCTGACTGCAACACAAAGTTACGGAAAGGATCTGAGCAGCGTAATGCGCCTTCTTAGCAAACACAAGATTCTGGTGGGGGAGATCAAGGGGAGAAACGCCATGTTACTGCAGACCCTCCAGAAGGGGGAGCAGGTGAGACTTGCTTTAAGTTGTTGATACAGTTTTGTTTTGTAATTTCTGGAATAAAAATCATGAATGCTGAATTATACCTTTTTAGCCCAAGGAGAGACTGACCCTTAAACATGTCACTGTCATTAGTACACTGTGACCGTGGGAGGGACTGACCCTTAAACATGTCACTGTCATTAGTACACTGTGACCGTGGGAGAGACGGACCATTAAACATGTCACTGTCATTAGTACGCTGTGACCCTGGGAGGGACTGACCATTAAACATGTCACTGTCATTAGTATACTGTGACCCTGGGAGGGATTGACCATTAAACATGTCACTGTCATTAGTACACTGTGACCCTGGGAGGGACTGACCATTAAACACACAATTACCACAGCCTGACCTTAGGAGGTATTATATTTTTAAAATTGAATTTTATGGTTTATTGATATTGAAAGAAGAGATGAGACATCTGAACATATCCTTTCTGGTAAAAAATCTTTAAAAAAAAAACTGTTTTCTCAAAGGTTCTAAAAAAGAGAAGAAAAGGGATGTCCGGTCTTCGCCAACGAATGGAAGTGGTGAGACGCCAGTGGGAAAATCTGGAGAAAGCATCCAATCTTCACCAGCAGAAGCTCCATGAAGCCTCCACCTTCCACCAGTTTAATGCAGATAACGCAGAGCTGGCAGGCTGGTTGCAGGACACCTACCGGCTCATTTCCAGTGATGACTTTGGACACGATGAGTACTCTACCCAATCCTTGGTCAAAAAACATCGGGAGGCCACAGAAGAAATAGAGAAGCACCAATCTGCTGTAATGGGCTTGAGGAAGCAGCTGTCTGAGTTGGGTGTTGAGTATAGAGACCAGGTGGATGTACAGATTTGCATTGTGGAGGTGGAGCAGCTCTATGGAGAGGTGGTGGAAGTGTCTTCGCTGCGTAGTCAGTGGCTTCAGGATGCTCTCGATGTGTACAAAATGTTTGGTGAAGTGAACTCATGTGAGGTGTGGATTGATGAAAAGGAGCAGTGGTTGATGAAGATGGATATCCCGCAGCGGCTGGAAGATGTGGAGGTTGTACAGCACAGGTGAGAAGGTGTTTGAAGAACTTGAAAAAAAATGAGATAAACGTTAAAATTACGATAAAAAAACCTTGGAAAATAAATGACGTAAACTTCAAAATTATCTCTTACCAATCTCTCCATCAAATTAAAAGGACACTCTGGGCACCATAACCACTACATCAAGCAGACGGCTTGCAGACAATGAATACTGTTTAAACCTGGAATGGTAATGCGGAAGAATTAACTTCCTCTTTATCAGACCAACTCAGACTAGAAAGCCTACGTGTGCCCAACACATAGGAGTCCAGCCATTTATAAATGGTTGACAGATTATCAGCGGACAGCACCTAGGAACTCCTGGCTGGCACCATAACAACTGTATGTCAGAGTAATAGTTATGGTGACAACTGCATGTACATTGTGTCACACTTTAAGATGTAGACTTTTCTGTGTTCATCCACAAACATTTCTTATTGCTGGGATTTTAGAAAGGTTCTATTTTCACATTTTTAGGTAAACTAGAAAAATGGTCAGAATTGTGGCAACTGACATTTAATGTGGATAAGTGCAAGATAATGCATCTTGGACGTAAAAACCCAAGGGCAGAGTACAGAATATTTGATAGAGTCCTAACCTCAACATATGAATAAAGGGATTTAGGGGTGATTATTTCTGATGACTTAAAGGTAGGCAGACAATGTAATAGAGCAGCAGGAAATGCTAGCAGAATGCTTGGTTGTATAGGGAGAGGTATTAGCAGTAGAAAGAGGGAAGTGCTCATGCCATTGTACAGAACACTGGTGAGACCTCACTTGGAGTAATGTACACAGTACTGGAGACCGTATCTTCAGAAGGATATTGATACCTTAGAGAGGTTCAGAGAAGGGCTACTAAACTAGTTCATGGATTGTGGGATAAAACTTACCAGGAAAGGTTAAAGGATCTTAACATGTATAGCTTGGAGGAAAGACGAGACAGGGGGGATATGATAGAAACATTTAAATACATAAAGGGAATCAACACAGTAAAGGAGGAGACTATATTTAAAAGAAGAAAAACTATCACAACAAGAGGACATATTCTTAAATTAGCGGGACAAAGGTTTAAAAATAATATCAGGAAGTATTACTTTACTGAGAGGGTAGTGGATGCATGGAATAGCCTTCCAGCTGAAGTGGTAGAGGTTAACACAGTGAAGGAGTTTAAGCATGCGTGGGATAGGTATAAGGCTATCCTAACTATAAGATAAGGCCAGGGACTAATGAAAGTATTTAGAAAATTGGGCAGACTAGATGGGCCGAATGGTTCTTATCTGCCGTCACATTCTATGTTTCTATGTTTCTATTTTTCATGGTGAAATGATAATATTTGTAGGATTTTACGTACTAGCTGTAATCCGGTGACTAGTCAGTAGTTTCAGTTTAACCCCTTAAGGACACATGACGTGTGTGACATGTCATGATTCCCTTTTATTCCAGAAGTTTGGTCCTTGAGGGGTTAAACTACGAAAACAATGAACAGAAGTGTTGCTACATAGCCTAAAATTATATAGCTGCAATTTATATTCCCTGAAAACATTCATCTTGAGTTTTAAAATATTATTAAGTATAAAATATTGCTGCAAAAATAATAGCACAGGGTCCAACAATATGAATGTTATTAGATTTAATGATATTAATGTTTAGATTTAATGGTTGATGCGTCTCTCACCATTAGCGCTGCTTATTCACCAGCAGTAACGAGTATCTGTGTCTTATAACTGTAGGTTTGAGAGTTTGGATCAGGAAATGAACAGCCTGATGGGACGAGTCCTGGATGTTAATCAGATTGTGCAGCAGCTCCTAGAAGCAGGGCACCCCAGCTCATCCGAAGTCAGCGCTTGCCAGGACCACCTGAACAGCAGGTAAGTGCTTGCAGAGAGATCTGTGGGTGGAGTTACCAGCATTCTGTCCCATGGAATTTCTCGACTCAGGACTTAAAGATTAAACTTAAGCAGTGAGTGCAGTTATAGAGGGATAACTAAATGTGAATGCTGCTCTCCATAAATGGTAGTAAATTGTATTACAAGTATAGTGCAGTGAACACTTACCAAACATATTCTAAGTACCAAACTTTAGCTACATTGAAATATGTCTGCATGATAGTTTTTATTTTCCTAGAGTTAATTGTTTATATTATCTAAAGGCCTTCATGTAACTTTTTTTAATAAAAGCTTAGTTTTAGTGTATATTTTTAATTAATGTGGGTCCTGTGGTAGATATGAAATTTCAGCCCTTTGTTTTCTGGCAGGTGGAACCGGATTGTGGAACTGGTGGAGCAGAGGAAAGACCAGCTCAATTCTGTTCTACGTCTGCAAAACTACTTTCTGGAATGCAACGAGGTAAAATCCCAAATTCGAGAGAAGAGGAAAGCAATGGAAACCACGCAATGTGGACCTGGAGAACTGGGTGGCGTGTTGTCCCTCCAGAGAAAATTGTCCAACATGGAAGCAGCCCTTTTGGCCATAGAACCCAAGTTAATCCAGCTTCAGCAAGATGCAGAAGCCCTTGCCACTTGCCATCCCACGCAGGCCATGGAAGTACTGGTCCACTTTGAAGAAATCAGCGGTGAATGGGAAGCTTTGAAGAGGACCCTCCAAGGATGTGAGGATTCCTTGACCGTGGCCAGCAAGTTGCAGCAGTTCATACAGGACTTGGACAACTTTCTGACTTGGCTGGTCAAGACTCAGACGGCAGTGGCTACAGAAGAGTTGCCATCCAATCTGGTTGAAGCTGAGAGGCTCCTTGGCCTTCATGGGGCCCTGAAAGAAGAGATCAACCGCTACGAGGAGGACTATAACAAGATTCAGGCAGTCAGTGACCTTCTGAGTTTGGAGGAGGCTGACCTCCCTTACTTGTCACTTCAGCAGTGGTTACAGAAGTTGGAAGTTGGGTGGAACAAACTTCTGCAGATGTGGGAGAATCGACGAGAAGTCCTTGTACAGTCTCATATTTTCCACTTGTTTCTGAGGGATGTTAAGCAAGCTGAGGCGTGTCTGAATAACCAGGTGAGTGATGGGTGAGACATCTTTTTAAAAAAAATAAAAAAATAATGTTTTTTTAAGTTGGAATAATTGAACCACAAAGTGCACATTAGTAAAGACACCCAAGTATTTAAAGGAACACTATAGTCACCTAAATTACTTTAGCTAAATAAAACAGTTTAAGTGTATTGATCATTCCCCTGCAATTTCACTGCTCGATTCACTGTCATTTAGGAGTTAAATCACTTTGTTTCTGTTTATGCAGCCCTAGCCACACCTCCCCTGGCTATGATTGACAGAGCCTGCATGAAAAAAAAAACTGGTATCACTTTCAAAGAGATGTAATTTACCTTAAATAATTGTATCTCAATCTGAACTTTAATCACATATAGGAGGCTCTTGCAGGATCTAGCAAGCTATTAACATAGCAGGGGATAAGAAAATCTTAATTAAAGGACCACTCTAGGCACCCAGACCACTTCAGCTTAATGAAACATCGTGGTCTGGGTGCCAGGTCCTTCTAGGGTTAACCCATTTTTTTCATAAACATAGCAGTTTCAGAGAAACTGCTATGTTTATGAATGGGTTAAGCCTTCCCCTATTTCCTCTAGTGGCTGTCTCATTGACAGCCGCTAGAGGCGCTTGCATGCTTCTCACTGTGATTTTCACAGTGAGAGCGTCAGCGTCCTTAGGAAGCAGTGGCTGGCGGCTGAATGCGGCGGCGCGGCAACGCAGCGGCGTGCGCATTCAGCCCGGCGAAAAGGAAGGAAGAAGGGAGGATGGGAGGGAGGAAGCTCCCGCCCAGCACTGGAAAAAGGTAAGTTTTACCTTTTCCCTTTCCAGAGCGAGGCGGGAGGAGGGGGTCCCTGAGGGTGGGGGCACCCTCAGGGGCACTACTGAATGCCAGGAAAAGCAGTATGTTTTTCCTGGCACTGTAAAATGTCACTAAACAGAACTTACAATAAAGAAAGCCTAAATAGGGCTCTCTTTACATGAAGTGTTTATGGAAGGCTGTGCAAGTCACATGCAGGGAGGTGTGACTAGGGTTCATAAACAAAGAGATTTAACTCCTAAATGGCAGAGGATTGAGCAGTGAGGCTGCAGGGGCATGCTCTATACACCAAAACTGCTTCATTAAGCTAAAGTTGTTCAGGTGACTATAGTGTCCCTTTAATAAACATGTATCATGTGTGTGAATGGCAGAGGAATGGACACTTACAGCCAAAACTTTCCTTGTATTACTGTGGCAGGGAGGAATGAAATAAGGGAGCGGCATTGTCCGGTAAAAGGGAACCAACATCAGGGCTAAATTGATGGAAAACTGTTGAACCCTTGATGATAAGAGGGCTCCTTAGGAGACGTTGTTACAGTGGTGGGCAGTGTTCCTTTAACTACTGGTTCTCACAGTCTCTCACTATGTCTGCCTCTACGTCGTTTCGATCTCCGTTTGTCTAAATAGAAACAAATTATGTGCAAGACAATATAAATGTAGTGAACTTTTCCCTCCTGTCTCTAGGAATCCACGCTGGCTCATGTTGAGTTGCCGAATACTGTGGACAGTGTGGAGGTGGCGATAAAGAAACATCGCGATTTCTTGACCACGATGGAACTGAATGCCCAGAAAGTTATCACAGCAGTGGATGCTGGAGAGAGTTTAATACGACTTGGAAATGTTTTTGCTGATCGCGTTCAGGAGCGTATTAGCGCCATACAAAAAAGGTGAGTCTGTCTGGGTTTTTAATCCAGTAACTATTATTAGTAACTAGCTACCAGTTCAGATATTATTTAAAGGGTGGTATATAGATCTAATGTCAGCATCTGTGTATACAAAGCAAAAAGTCCGTAGTAAGGATAATACATATACACTTTATAGGATCTGCGGTGACTTGTGTGTGTTGATGTCTGTTGGCTCGGAAGGATTATACTCTGGGGTCCAGTCAAGCTGTTGTAATGAATTTATAGAGAAAGCATGTAGATTGTAAGTTTAATGTCAGTGGTTTATGCTAGTGACGTGTTGTTAGCAGTTATTAACGCACACAGTGACGCTGACATTTCCCCATCTTGTCTCCCAGGAGCCAGCGAAACATGGCGCTCGCCCACAAATGGCTGCAGAGACTGAAAGATCATCTCGAGCTTCAATGCTTCCTGCAAGACTGCAACGAGGTAAAGGGGTAACTGCGAGGGAGGTGCCCAATGTCGCTGACGGTATTCATTGTGGATAAAATATAGAGGAAAATTATAAGTTTTAGCCCAAAATACAAAAAACAGAAGCAATTTTTTGTAGTTCAGGTATTTTTACAGCTTTGGTTATTAAAGGGCCAGTCTAACCTGGAAATAGCTAATGCTCGCTATTGGGATCCTGTACATGATTTGGGTTTTATAACCGGTTATTAAAGGGCCAGTCTAACCTGGAAATAGCTAACGCTCGCTATTGGGATCCTGTACATGATTTGGATTTTATAACCGGTTATTAAAGGGCCAGTCCAGCATGGAAACAGGTAAAGCAAGCTATGGGGATCCTGTACATGATTTGGGTTTTATAACCGGTTATTAAAGGGCCAGTCTAGCATGGAAACAGTTAAAGTGAGCTATGGGGATCCTGTACATGATTTGGATTTTATAACCGGTTATTAAAGGGCCAGTCCAGCATGGAAACAGTTAAAGCGAGCTATGGGGATCCTGTACATGATTTGGATTTTATAACCGGTTATTAAAGGGCCAGTCCAGCATGGAAACAGGTAAAGCAAGCTATGGGGATCCTGTACATGATTTGGGTTTTATAACAGGTTATTAAAGGGCCAGTCTAACCTGGAAACAGTTAAAGCAAGCTATGGGGATCCTGTACACGATTTGGGTTTTATAACCGGTTATTAAAGGGCCAGTCTAGCATGGAAACAGTTAAAGTGAGCTATGGGGATCCTGTACATGATTTGGATTTTATAACCGGTTATTAAAGGGCCAGTCCAGCATGGAAACAGGTAAAGCAAGCTATGGGGATCCTGTACTTGATTTGGGTTTTTAAAGGGCCAGTCTAGCATGGAAACCGTTAAAGCAAGCTATGGGGATCCTGTCCATGATTTGGGTTTTATAACCGGTTATTAAAGGGCCAGTCCAGCATGGAAACAGTTAAAGCAAGCTATTGGGATCCTGTCCATGATTTGGGTTTTATAACCGGTTATTAAAGGGCCAGTCCAGCATGGAAACAGTTAAAGCAAGCTATGGGGATCCTGTACATGATTTGGGTTTTATAACCTGTTATTAAAGGGCCAGTCCAGCATGGAAACAGTTAAAGCAAGCTATTGGGATCCTGTACACCATTTAGGTTTTATAACCGGTTATTAAAGGGCCAGTCTAGCATGGAAACAGTTAAAGCAAGCTATGGGGATCCTGTACACGATTTGGGTTTTATAACCGGTTATTAAAGGGCCAGTCCAGCATGGAAACAGTTAAAGCGAGCTATGGGGATCCTGTACATGATTTGGATTTTATAACCGGTTATTAAAGGCCAGTCCAGCATGGAAACAGGTAAAGCAAGCTATGGGGATCCTGTAAACAATTTGGATTTTATAACCGGTTATTAAAGGGCCAGTCTAGCATGGAAACAGGTAAAGCAAGCTATGAGGATCCTGTACACGATTTGGGTTTTATAACCGGTTATTAAAGGGCCAGTCTAGCATGGAAACAGTTAAAGCAAGCTATGGGGATCCTGTACACGATTTGGGTTTTATAACCGGTTATTAAAGGGCCAGTCTAGCATGGAAACAGTTAAAGCAAGCTATGGGGATCCTGTACATGATTTGGGTTTTATAACCGGTTATTAAAGGGCCAGTCCAGCATGGAAACAGTTAAAGCGAGCTATGGGAATCCTGTACTTGATTTGGGTTTTTAAAGGGCCAGTCTAGCATGGAAACCGTTAAAGCAAGCTATGGGGATCCTGTCCATGATTTGGGTTTTATAACAGGTTATTAAAAGGCCTATATTTCCCTTTGAATGTGTCCATGGTTTTTCAGGCTCTTTGCTAGTAGCGACATTTTTAGATCCATGTCATACTGTCATTGTGAGTCTCTGCCAGCTGATAACACAATCTGTTCCATTCTTTGCGTCAGACTGATGTACATTTCGTTCCTGAGACTCAGAGAGCAAGATTCAGGGATTTACTGTGTGTTAAAATGAGGCTTTCTGTGAATAAATGCTATAATCCTACTATGTCACAATGGATATTTAACATGGGCAGCATGCAAACAGTTTATTAAAAAAAAAATTCAGCTCTTGAAAAAGGCGGTTTTCTCGTCGAAACGCGTGTCGGGCTGCCGATGCATACTTTGCTTTTAGCTTAGACTGCGATACCCTCTGACCTCATACTCTGACTAGATTAGCGGGGCTACCTTGTAGAAGCAGGTGGGTTTTGGTTTAGCTAGTTGGAATATACAATATCCATCACTCTTTAGCTATATACATGCTCTACCATCTAGGGGGACTGCCTTGAATAAGGGTGGCATATCCAGCACAGACATTGAATGGTTTATTTTCGAGCCGTATACATGCTTTACCTTCATCCACAAGTTACCATTGTTGCTTAGATATATTTCAAGTACTTTCCATCCACAGGTGAGCTACCTTTAAGCAGAATAAGCGGGGCGAGTCTAGACATTCCCAGGGTGCACATTGGGCTCCGCTTGTCCTACCCTCTGTATGTTCTCTCCTTTTCCTCCCCCTAATACTAGTCACCATCTATACCATACGAGCTACCTATATGTGGATTTGATAATATGCATACCTATGAGATAAGTAAGATCGTGATGCCTTTAGTTTAGTCTAAGGGTTCATCTAGTACCACTCTGCAACTGACTCCTTAGTCCACTGTCTCCTACTTTATTCGTCTAAGATGTGGTTTATCCAATATACAATTTATTCTGCTACTGTTGTATCAAGCCTTTTGATACAAAGTCAGTCTTATATTGAGTACAATCTATGGATTTATCCCTCGTCCTCTTAGAGTGTAAGCTCTTCACTTTCTGTCCCCGAATTCAATCTTTTTTTGCTGTAATTAATTATTTGTCTTGTTTGGCCTGTTGTGCAGAGCTGCAGAATATTGTTGACTGGTGTGAGAGGGTTTTTGCAGCTCACTGTGTCTTTTTCACATTTTTCTTTTACTTTACACATATCACTTAATTTGTTTCATATTATATTTATATATACTGTATATAAAAATAATGATAGCAGGGGTCAATGTTTCAGGATTTTCTAGAAATTCTCGCAAACATAGTAAATATTCCTTCCTGCCATGAAACTCCATTTTAATCATGATACAATGAGAGGGGTACTACCGCACCCCAATATTGAGTATTAGGGCAGTGGGTACCATCTTTGTTCTCTAGGTCACTTGAATCCCTCCCTCTGCTTTTAGGGAAATTGTTGCTGAGTAACATTGTCCTATTTCCCCTGAGCGGAGCTGGTTCACCCTTTCATTAAATAATTCTTTGTATTTTGGAATATAAACCGCTCTCTTTATAGCTGGAGGTCCCGGGGTCCAAACTGGTGTGCCGCTACCTACAGTGCAAGGTCCTCAATACCCAGCACTGGGGAATCGGAAACCCCGTCAGTCCATGAACATTTTTCTCCTTAGATCTGGTCGTTCGTAAATAAGGGTAGGCGAGTAATGGTTACAGTAGAGTCACCGTGGGGGTGTGAATATAAAGCAGCTATTCCGTGGGTGAATAAGTGCAAGGATTAGCGCGGTGGGCGTGTAGTAAACGTTTCCCATTGTCTCCACGACACAAGTTGCGTTACACTCTTCCTCCTGAGTCACTGGTCGTACATCCTTAACACGTCTATCCGGGAATACGTTGAAATCTCTGAATCTGCTGCTGTACTCTGCTTGGTACTAATTGTGGTGGTTTCAATGAATGTTCCCGGATTTGGGGTAAAAACATTTAGTTTCTAACAAGGATTTCTATGTCAGTGTTTTACAATTTCCAGCAGCCCAGAGTTCTCACAATGTTTAATTAATTTGTAATGTTTTTGAATTATTCTGAATAGGAGTCTATTCTTTACCTTGATATGATATCTCCATGTAAGTGTTTGTCATGGTTAAATTTTCTAGTTAATAGACACATGGTGAGCGATTCAATATACACATCAGCTATGTAGATAAGTTAGAGCAGGACTGGCGCGTTTATCTTGGTTTATTCCTGGTGAAACCGGACAGACAGGAGAATTGCGGTTTTTTTATTCAGTTTATGGTCGTTCAGTGAATCTTTAATTTTTTTTTCTCTTCATTTTTTTAAATTTATTTCTCTCCTTTAGGGTTTATTCAAAGAATTTAAGAAAATCAGGATAAAATTTCTAGGCTGTGACTTATAGCTAAGAGTTTTTCCAAATCAGTAATTTTTGCCTAAATGTTAAAATTCTCGTTTAAGTTTACTGCAGTGTGTTATTTAGCAAATAAATCCCTGTGTTTCATTTTATTTATATTTTTTGTAGTTTTGTAGAGGTCAAACGGCTAATTCAGCCAATGTCAATCCAGCTTTTGTGGAGACAAAGATTCATTTTTAGTATTTAGTTTGTCTTCGTTTTATTGTATTAATGTCGCTTTGTAGCCCTCGTGTGGCAGATACACTGCCCAGGTTTTGGCAGTCTGTGGCATTGAGGGCACTGCCCTAGTGCAGGTCACAATGCCCTCTTACACAATGACTAAACAGGTAAAACAGTAAGTGGTAATGTTAGATTGGAAGCATGTGAGGTTATTCATTGAAACCTGCTATTGCTAAGAATTGACAATAAACTTACACATTTTACCCCAAAACATCTGGCTTGGAGAAATTCCTAGTTCGGCTTCTGTAGTCTAACGTTTTCAGTTCCCTTGTTAATTCACGCCACATCTTGGTTTGGTAAATAAACCAATTTAAAGGAATGCTCTAATCTAATCATTTAGGCCCACAATCAGGACTCTTACTCCTAAATAGGGACATTTGGAAGGTATGAAGTGCTTTCTTCCTGTAGCCTTCCATGGTGTCACATTTGAAGAACAAGCCAAAATTTTTTTATTTTTTTTTTGTAGATAGCACATTGTCCCCGTGTCCAAATCTGAACACTCCTTATTCTGATTTAATCCCTTTGCATTTTTCCATCATAATCTCATTAGACTCTGTTATTGTTAAAAGCCATGCTTACGTTTCCAAAGCTGACTTCTCCTTCTCTCGAGTATTAGAAGAAGGGTCACATTCTTTCCCCAAATTCTGTTTTTGTGCTGTATTTTATTTGGATCGTTCTGTTGTGTAAGTGTAGGATGTTTGGTGGTCAGAATCAATAGTTAAGGTGAGGTCAATCAACATTCGGGTTACATATTACGAATTGTGACATAAAGGAGGAGAACTTGAACGCTGACAATTAATTAACATTGTGACATTAAGAAAGTAGATCGAATGGGTTAAAAGAATCCCTACAGTGACAGAACTGCAAGGAGAAAGCGTGACATATTAAAGGAACGCTGACATTACAAATGCATATATTTATTTTTAACGTTTAAGTGTTGTTTAGATTATGAATCCCCTTTTAAGAAAAAAAAAAAAACCATTTAAATAATATGCAATCCAGTAACATTGAAAACTTCTGGTCTAATCGGATACTTGTCATAAAACAGCACAGAGTATCCACAGTGCATGTACGGCAGTCACCGTGCTGAATGTGTGATCACGGTGAATGTGAAGGTGTCAAAGAGAAAGCGATTCTGGTGGCAGTGTGATAGCCAAACCCCTTTAGGACACAGCTTCAGGAGCTTGTCTTACGCTTAATGACACAAGCAATTTTTGCATTTTCTTGCTGTTTGCGTTCAACAGCAATTTGCATCTCTCTCATTTATTGCACCGACACACATTATATACTGTTTTTTTTTTAAAGGACAGAAAGGGCTTTAATTTGATATATATAAATATAAATGCTTATTTATTTTAAAAAAAATACAGAAAAATGCAAACAAAATGAAAAAAAATTTTTTATTTTTTTTTTACAGTTTTTGCAATAATAATGTGTGCATAATTAGTGCAGGTTAAATAAAGTAATTAAAAATAAATTAATTTAGTTGTTCTGATTTACAGAATATATAATGTGTCTGGGATTTTAAGTTTTTTTGGGTAGTTTCAGGTCACAAAGCACAAGGAGTAAAATAAACTTTTAATGTGGAGCGATCTTAGAATTTGGTATGTTTGTCTTGTAAGCTTAATAGCCATAAAAGAAAACATAATTGCCACACAAAAGTATATATTTATATAAAGTAGACATCACGGGCTATTTACCTAAGGTTGTTTTGACACTTTCTACGTAGCCATTTCACCGCCAACCTCTGCTAAATATTGGAGTAAAATTCTGTTTATTTTTGTTTTTGGCACACAAGCTTATAACAAAGAAATTCTCATGTGTATTTTGTAAAGTTGGTGTGTGCTATTCCTGTACAAAGTTTTATTTTGTGTTCAGTTACATCTGCTGAGTAAAATGACACCCCCATTGTATGTCTTTGGCACTATTTCGTGAAGTTACAGTGCCATACAGGATACCTGTCCTTTTCAGTATTCACAGTAGAATTTTGAGAGACGGATTTAATGAGCCTTAGCTTCCATTTTGGGGTATTATAACAGTTTGACTGTTCAAAAACCCCCACAAAGGCCTACCATTTGTAAAAGTAGACACTCCAGGGTATCTCATAAGGTGCATATTGTGCCTTAACATGCCCCCATTTTTCCACCAATATATGCCAAAGTATGGGGTAAAAAATAATTTTGCGCATTTTTTACATACGGATTGCATTTTTGCTGGGCGTTTTGTATATTTCACATGTGCCACTAAGTTCAAACCCCCCGAATTACGCCCGGCTAAGTCTTCTGAGTAAAAGGACACCCCATATGAATGTCTTTGGCACTATTTCGTGAAGCTACAGTGCCATATAGGAGACCTGTCCATTTCAGTATTTACAGTACAATTTTGAGAGATGGATTTAATTGGCCTATACTTCAATTTGGGGCATTATTGCAGTTGGAAAGTTCAAAATCCCCCACAAAGGCCCCCACAAATTTCCTAAAGTAGACACCCCAGGGTATTTCAAAAGGCATATTTTAAACCTTAGCGTAGGATCATTTTTTTGTTAGTTTGTACCAAGTCTAGTTACAATTAGCATTTTTTCTGCCTTTTTGACACACACTTGAAGATGTTACTGTATATTTTGTAATCCTTATGTGTGCTATGGCAGTATAACACCTAATATGTTGCTCAGCTATGTCCTCTTAGTGCAGCAATACCCCCACGTGTACCTTTTTCAGGGTTATGTGGATGTTGAAGGGGCACCACTTTCATATTTTTCAAAAGTGGATGCTGGGCCAAAGTGTTATTTTAGCAGCTCAGGACAGGAAATTACCTCTCAAAGACCACATATATTTTTAAGTATAAGCAGCTCATCAATTCAAATAATGAACAAGTGCATACTATTTGCTGTGAAAAGGGGGATTAGTTGGCTTAAACTTATCTGGGGGTAGTACCCAGTAATCTGCATCACGGGCAACGCTGTCACGGATTCCAAAATACAGACAGACTACAAAGAGAGAGAACACAGAGAGAGACACTTGTAATACCGGTCCTTAGAATGGCCGGGCTATACAAGCTGAGAATAGTCAAGGTACAAGCAGAGGTCAAAGGGGTAAAGAGAAACGGAACAACGATAGGACAAGCCGAGGTCAAGGATCAGAGAAGACAGGATAAACGGGAGACAAAGCCAAGATTTGGTAACCAGACAGTTGACTAAAATCAACACCCCAAAACTGGTCTGCTTATTCGGCCTGGGTGTGGAAAATTTTAAAACAGTGGCCAATACATAGGCCGGGCTGAGAGGGGCAATCAGGACAGTAATAGCTGGTCTCAACTCTTACGCCCCTCTTGTAACACACCCTGCATCTTTTCTGGGGGTTTTTCTTTCTGGAGGTTGATGGAATCTTGAAGCAGAAGTGACCTGCCTCCATTCTTCTGCTAGGCTCCACTGATTGTCCCCCTCTGTGGCACTCAAGTAACCCAGAAATGAGCTGAAATTGAAATGAAAGGAATGTGCATTTCAGCTCAGCATTTGCCTTTTTAAAAATAATAAAGGCATTGTGGACTGCCGTCTGCATTATATATATGCCCACTTTTTTATACCATGCCCTGGTTTTCCGCATGATTAAATACGGCTGCATTAGTTGATCGGACAGGTCAACTCCCCCCATATGCCGATTATATTGCTGTATGCAGACTGGCACCTGTTTACATTGCTCTCTGCCACGAACTGCGACCCTGCGAGTGTTTTCACCATGGATGGTAGTTAGGATGAAAACCTCCTTTTTATCGCGGTACTTGAGTGCCAGCAGTTCATTCTGGCAGAGAGCTGCTGTTTCCCCCTCTTTTAATTTTTTTTCCACTAGAGCCTTTGGGAAACCTGTGCGACTCTTCCTGATAGTGCCGCAGGCCACGGTCTCAAAACAGTACAGCATTTGTAAGAGTGGGATGCTGTTATAAAAGTTATCGATGTATAAGTGATAACCGTAGTTAAGTAAGGGCATTATTAAGTCCCAGACAATTTTCCCACTTGTCCCTATTATATCTGGGCAACCTGGGGGATCAAGGTGGCTATCCCTTCCTTCGTATACACGGAAGGTGTACACATAGCCACTGCCACTTTCACATAATTTATAAAATTTGATCCCATACCGGGATCTTTTGGATGGGACGTACTGTCTAAATCCCAGTCTTATATTTCAGGAGGGACTCGTCAATTGAAATTTGTTTTTTGGGGATGTAAATAGTGGCAAATTTTTCATTAAAGTGGGAAATTAGAGGGCGTATTTTATAAAGAATGTCATACTGCGGATGACCTTTTGGGGGGCACTTCATATTGTCATTAAAGTGCATAAAACACAGTATGTCCTCATATCTCTCCCTATGCATTGTCTGGGAAAAAAATGGGGTTATTAAAAATAGGATTTTTAGTCCAATACATCCTAATTGTGGGCTTTTTAACTATGCCCATTAACATTGTCAGTGCCCAGAATTGTTTAATTTCTGGCACACTGGTTGGGTACCATCTCTCTGTCCTGGCGATTCGGGAGTCTTGGTTGTGTGCAAGATATTGCTCCGCCCCAAAAAAATACCTCCCCAAAAAATAGCTCCATACAATCCAGCGCATTATAGCCAGACAGGTCAGCCTGTATGCCAGGATTGGCAGTGAACTCTGGGATGTCTGGAGAAAAATGATTAGGGGGTACCCAGTCATCTGCGCCATGTTGAACATTAGATTTCCCCTGATGTTCCTGCAGTATCTGGCACATAGTCCCTGTCCCCTGCGTCACTCACTGAGGCAGTGTCGGTCGCCTCTGAGTCGGTTGCTAACATGGCATAAGCCTCCCCTGCGCTATACTTTCGAAACATTGTTAGTACAGTTAACACAGCTAAGAAAACTTAAACTAAATAACTAAACTTTTTTTTTTCTTTGTAACCCCTAACTAAATCACAAATTAATAAAATAATAAAATTGAACCCCTTAGGGTTACAAAAAAAATAGCTGCTAGCAGTGATCAAGCAGCAGGGAAAGGGTTATTTTTTTTTTTAAATAAAGGGGAAAGGGATTAGGAACCTTTAATAGATATTCACTATTCTTCTGGGACACAATGTTGCAACGATCCGTCTCTCTCCACTTCACAAACCCACAACAGGCGGAGGGAGGCGGATCCGATATCCCAGCAGTATTGTGACCGCTGTGACTGGCTGTAACAGCGATCACATGTGCTGGGACATCGCAATTTGCTGTTGCTGGTCTGCCCCGATCGCGGGGTTAATTTTACCGCGTGACGGACAAGGTCACCGGTCCTGAAGGGGTTAAACATCGCTGATATTAAAAGGACACTATAGTCACCAAAACAACTTTAGCCTAATGAAGCAGTTTTGGTGTATAGATCATGCAACTGCAGTCTCACTGCTCAATACTCTGCCATTTAGGAGTTAAATCACTTTGTTTATACAGCCCTAGCCACACCTCCCTGCATGTGACTTACACAGCCTTCTTAAACACTTCCTGCAAAGAGTGATCTGATGTTTAAACTTCCTTAACTGCAAATTCTGTTTAATTTAGTCTCGAGCACTGTTAATAGCTTTTTAGACCTTTCTGGAGGCTCCTTTATGTGATTAAAGTTCACTTTACAGAGCAATAAAACAAGCTGTAATAATACACAGAGCTGTAATAATAAAACAAGCTGTAATAATACACAGAGCTGTAATGGTAAAACAAGCTGTAATAATACACAGAGCTGTAATGATAAAACCAGCTGTAATAATACACAGAGCTGTAATGATAAAAAAGCTGTAATAATACACAGAGCTGTAATAATACACTGAGCTGTAATAGTAAAACAAGCTGTAATAATAAAACAAGCTCTAATAATACATAGAGCTATAATACTCAAACAAGCTGTAATAATACACAGAGCTGTAATAATAAAACAAGCTGTAATAATGCACAGAGCTGTAATAATAAAACAAGCTGTAATAGACTGAGATAGGATAGGTAGGGGAGGGAGGCCGAGATAGGATAGATAGGGGAGGGAGGCCGAGATAGGATAGATAGGGGAGGGAGGCCGAGATAGGATAGATAGGGGAGGGAGGCTGAGATCGGATAGATAAGGGGAGGGAGGCCGAGATAGGATAGATAAGGGGAGGGAGGCCGAGATAGGATAGATAAGGGGAGGAAGGCCGAGATAGGATAGATAAGGGGAGGGAGGCCGAGATAGAATAGATAAGGGAAGGGAGGCCGAGATCGGATAGATAAGGGGAGGGAGGCCGAGATAGGATAGATAAGGGAAGGGAGGCCGAGATCGGATTGATAGAGGGAGGAGAGTGAGAGGAGGGATAGAGAGATGTAGTGATAGAGGGAGGAGAGTCAGAGGAGGGATGAAGCGATGTATTGATAGAGGGAGGAGAGTCAGAGGAGGGATAGAGAGATGTATTGATAGAGGGAGGAGAGTCAGAGGAGGGATAGAGAGATGTATTGATAGAGGGAGGAGAGTCAGAGGAGGGATAGAGAGATGTATTGATAGAGTGAGGAGATTGAGAGGAGGGATAGAGAGATGTATTGTTAGAGGGCGGAGAGTGAGAGGAGGGATAGAGAGATGTATTGATAGAGGGAGGAGAGTGAGAGGAGGGATAGAGAGATGTATTGATAGAGGGAGGAGAGTGAGAGGAGGGATAGAGAGATGTATTGATAGAGGGAGGAGAGTGAGAGAGTGATAGAGATGATGTAGAGATGGAGGAGAGTCAGAGGAGGGATGAGATGCATTGATAGAGGGAGGAGAATCAGGAGGGATAGAGAGATGTATTGATAGAGGGAGGAGAGTGAGAGGAGGGATAGAGAGATGTATTGATAGAGGGAGGAGAGTGAGAGGAGGGATAGAGAGATGTATTGATAGAGGGAGGAGAGTGAGAGGAGGGATAGAGAGATGTATTGATAGAGGGAGGAGAGTGAGAGGAGTGATAGAGAGATGTATTGATAGATGGAGGAGAGTCAGAGGAGGGATGAAGCGATGTATTGATAGAGGGAGGAGAATCAGAGGAGGGATAGAGAGATGTATTGATAGAGGGAGGAGAGTGAGAGGAGGGAGGAGGGGGAGATGACGCAGAGCTTGCTGGATCCTCCCCCACTCTCCCCATTCACTGCAGTGGGATAATTCGTCTGTCCCATCGTATCTGTGCATTGGTGGGAGAATGCCTTCAGCCAGCGACCATGTGTCAGTATAGCAGGGACTCCCAGCGTTGTGCCCCCACTAGCCCAGGGGCCTGCTGTGCATAGGAGCCATCCCTCCCCTGGCAGGCGATACAGGAGCTCACTGCAGCAAACAGCATCACACAGCACACTGCACACTGCCAGCACCTGCAGCAGGACTGCCAGGCACTGACACATCCATTACTGGGGGTCCCTCGCTGCTGCTTGTTTTCATTCCTTTCTTCTGCATCCCTCTCTCCTCCCTCCCGCTGTCTGTTACATCCCTCTCTCCATCCCTTCTCCAACTCATCCTTTCCTTCTCTCTCCATACCTTCTCCAATTCATCCTTCCCTTCTCTCTCTCCATCTCTTTATCTAACTCATCCTTTCCTTCTCTCTCTCTCCATCTCTTTCTCCAATTCATCCTTTCCTTCTCTCTCTCCAATTCATCCTTTCCTTCTCTCTCTCCATCCCTTCCCCAACTCATCCTTTCCTTCACTCCGTCTTTCACTTTTCTTTCCTTCTTTCATTCTCACGCTCGCCTCATACGACGTACCACTATCACGGCTTGCTTTATTAATAACACCCTAATGTCAGGATGATTAGGGGTGCTCGACCCCTGCCACCCACACCCCCAGATTCACCCCAGTTACCCTTACCCAGGCCTCACCAACCCCTAACAATGGGTACCTCTTACCTGAACCTGATCTCTAATACCCTTTCCAGCTGGACGCATGGATCAGCGAGAAGACGCTAATGGCGAGGGACACCTCTCGAGACCTGGCGCAAAGACCGCACAAAAAATGGCTGAAGCACCAGGCATTCATGGCGGAGCTCTCCCAGAACAAGGGCTGGCTGGAGAAGATTGAGAAGGTGAGATTAAAAAAATATATTTTATAATTATTAGAATTGGTTATAATTCAGCAAGTTGTGAGGAGCTTGTCTGCAAAGCTTGCAATCTAGGGGACCATGTGAAATGGGAAAATTGGCACAGAGAACCATAATAAAGGGATTACCCACAATGCTTTGTGCAGGGATTTAAAGATGGCTGTGTGTACGTGTCACCTGTTGCATGACTGATGCAGGTAGTTATAACTTTCAGTGGAAAAATAGAATGTCTTCATGCTTGCTTCCTACGGCCGCAGACTTTAGGGTTTATTAATTATACAGTGACGTCCGAACCCTTAGCACTTTCCAGAAAAAATAACCTAATTCAGAAATGATTTGTGCATATCTGCTATTTAGTAAAATGTTCAAATTGGTTGTAATCCAAACATAAGTCACTGTTTATTGAATAGAGATCTTCTTGTCTCCAGCAGGAATCTGTTCTTCCCTACTATTTATCAGCTGGGTTTTCCAGCTCTGACCCTCCAGTGTGTGAATAATACATTCATTAGTACTGTACAGTCCAAATGTTCCCCAAAATGCTTCCATATAGAGGCAGATGTTGGCACTGCTCAAATTAGCAAGGGATTCTGGGAAGCCTAGTGCCAACATCTGCTGGGGTGCCAAGCTCACCTGCCCTACTTGCCGTAAGTATTTTGGGGAACAGGTAGGCGTATGCTATGTACTATTATTGAATGCTTTTAATAAAGTACAAGCCGGATCCACATTGATCAGTGATCCCTGATTTCATTATTTGCAGAGATGCGTTGATCCCCAGTACATTTATAGCAGAAATGACTAATCGTAGAACTCTATATGGACTGCATCCCTCATAAATCACATGCAGCCTTTCATTGTGCTAGAGATTGTGGGCATTTTTCACTGCCATGGTATGCTATCTCCGAATTATAGGATGAACTCATTCTTTGTATGTGGGCTGGCTGCCCCTTCATATAAGTAGGATACATCCCTTCAGTAGATGCCGATAGGTGAAATATGCCACGAATATTGCCAACAAAGAGCCACGTTTGCCATATCGATAGGTTTATAATTGGAATATTTCTGTAACTCTACACCAACGTGTTACAGCTGAGTTGGTCACCTATGCATAGTTCCAGTACCATGTGTGATCGGTCCTGGGGTTATTCAATAAAATGGGTGGTGTGGGAATCGACCATGGGAATTGTTAATAATAGAACAAATTAGCTGAACTCGAAAACCTCTCCAGCTTGGCTACTTTGGCATCAGATCTGGAATTCCCTGGCCCATTCTCGGAATCCCCTGTTTTGTGCCCATTATATGCTGGTTGGAACAGAGGGGAGGCTGTGAAGATAATGGGTCCAATTTTGCTCTAGAAAACCTCATCAAACAAGCTTTTATCTCGCTTTAATTCAGTTCCTGAACTGCAGTTCTCAATATTGAAAATGTTTAAAAAAATAAACCGAGAAATGAACGATCTCTATATTTTGGCACATCTATTGAGCGGTAACATGATATTCAGCAATACGTTGCAGTGCTGACTTAGCTTCCACACTGCGTCCAGGCGTACATACCTTCCACTCAGATCCAACCTGCCTGCTTCATGGGAGATACTGCTACAAGGTCACCGAGCTGTTTAATGCTTAGTTAGGACAATATTTACCAAGAAAACATGGAGCAAAGTGAAAATGGATAGGGATTGACTGATCATTTATAATATTATAAATTACAACTATTTAGTGGATATCGTCTGAAACTACTCTACGCTTGCCTTATTATAATGGAAAATCAACGAACCCCACCGCACTCCTGATAATATGCAGGCATACTCACTAAAACATCAAATTTAGGGGAATTGAATCCCGAGTTGTAAGGTTTATGCTGAAACAGAAAAGCCGTGAGCTACAGAGTTATACACTAAACGCAGGCTTCCCCAAACTCCGGCCCTCCAATGTTGCTAAACTTCAACTCCCATGATTCTAGGAATGAAATAGGCTGAGAATCATGGGAGTTGTAGTTCAGCAACATTGGAGGGCCGGAGTTTGGGGAAGCCTGCTCTAAAGTGTGACTTGTCCGTAACTCAAAGGGAAATAATCAAAGAGAATTTTAAATTGGAGCCCAATATTGCTGGACTGAAAACACAAATCACTATTTTGTTCGGAAATTTAAAATTCACTTTGAATTAATTATTAGTGATAATTGGAAAATTATTCCAACCGAATGCCTGTGGTGTTTCAATTCACCATCATTCTCTGTTTAATGAAAGGGTTAAAGAATGGAATGGACAGATTCAGTCACTGGAGTGAGAATTTCAAAGTCAAGATGAAACTAGCCGAACAGGAAACATTCTCTAAGTCAGCTCGGCTACTCTGGCCTTAAATTTTAAATTCTCTTTGAGAATAAGAATTGACGATTTCAGGAAAACCAGACAAGTTGGAAAATTAACTTATTTGGAGCACATTACCAGTTTAAGCTTTTTGTCTAAATTTCCCAATTCACAGGTTTTTTTGTTTTTTTAAAACAAACTGTGGATTCTGTTCCGGAACCATTTCACAGCTTCTCTCTGTGTCCGTTTGCTATTGTTTTGTAGATGCCAAACTTTAAATGTTAAAGAGCCCTGTGGTATCACACCGCCATATTTACCTTTAAAACAATAAATAGGTGTGCGTTTGCAAGACCCTGTGACTGCTGAGCTGGCGAATTCCCCTGGGGGGTAACATAGAATAAGGACCTACTTCTGTCACTAGTGAGGATGTATGGAACACGCCATTCTCCACGAGTCCCCTATAAACCCAGTTAGATCCAGATGGTCCTTCCTGTCTCTATACGGAACGTGATTTACCTGTCAGTAAGTAGGATACAGTCTGCCCCTTGCTGCTTGTTCGTGTGGATCTGGGGAATAAATTATATCCCAGCCAAGGATATCACAGACTGAGGATATATCCATCCAGCCAGGGATATCACAGACTGAGGATATATCCATCCAGCCAGGGATATCACAGACTGAGGATATATCCATCCAGCCAGGGATATCACAGACTGAGGATATATCCATCCAGCCAGGGATATCCCAGACTGAGGATATATCCATCCAGCCAGGGATATCACAGACTGAGGATATATCATCCATCCAGCCAGGGATATCCCAGACTGAGGATATATCCATCCAGCCAGGGATATCACAGACTGAGGATATATCCATCCAGCCAGGGATATCACAGACTGAGGATATATCCATCCAGCCAGGGATATCACAGACTGGGGATATATCATCCATCCAGCCAGGGATATCACAGACTGAGGATATATCATCCATCCAACCAGAGATATCACAGACTGGGGACAGACTGGGGATATATCATCCATCCAGCCAGGGATATCACAGACTGGGGATATATCATCCATCCAGCCAGGGATATCACAGACTGGGGATATATCATCCATCCAGCCAGGGATATCACAGACTGGGGATATATCACCCATCCAGCCAGGGATATCACAGACTGGGGATATATCATCCATCCATCCAGGAATATATCACAGACTGATATATCATCCATCCATCCAGCCAGGGATATCACATACTGGGGATATTTCATCCATCCAGCCAGGGATATCACAGACTGGGGATATATCATCCATCCATCCAGCCAGGGATATCACAGACTGGGGATATATCATCCATCCAGCCAGCCAGGGATATCACAGACTGGGGATATATCATCCATCCATCCAGGGATATCACAGACTGGGGATATATCATCCATCCATCCAGGGATATCACAGACTGGGTATATATCATCCATCCATCCAGCCAGGGATATCACAGACTGGGTATATATCATCCATCCAGCCAGCCAGGGATATCACTGACTGGGGATATATCGTCCATCCAGCCAGGGATATCACAGACTGGGGATATATCATCCATCCAGCCAGGGATATCACAGACTGGAGATATATAATTTATCCAGCCAGGGATATCACAGACTGGGGATATATCATCCATCTAGGGATATCACCTGGGAACCTCACATTACTGGGTAAACTATAGACTGTAAATTCGTTTGAGCAGGGTCCTCTTCAACCTATCGTTCCTGTAAGTTTTCTTGTAATTGTCCTATCTATAGTTAAAACCCCCCTCTCATAATATTGTAAAGCGCTACGGAATCTGTTGGCGCTATATAAATGGCAATAATAATAACTAGGCACCACAGTATGGGATAAACTGGAACCTTGCATTATGGGATAAACTGGGAACCTCACATTACTGGGATAAACTGGGAACCTCACATTATGGGGTAAACTGGTAACCTCACATTATGGGATAAACCAGGAAACTCGCATTATGGGGTAAACTGGTAACCTCACATTATGGGATAAACCAGGAACCTCACATTACTGGGATAAACCAGGAACATCGCATTATGGGATAAACTGGGAACCTCAAATTACTGGGATAAACTGGGAACCTCACATTACTGGGATAAACTGGGAACCCCACATTATGGGATAAACTGGGAACCTCACATTATGGGATAACCTCACATTACTGGGATAAACCAGGAACATCGCATTATGGGATAAACTTGGAACCTCAAATTACTGGGATAAACTGGGAACCTCACATTACTGGGATAAACTGGGAACCCCACATTATGGGATAAACTGGGAACCTCACATTATGGGATAAACCAGGAACCTCACATTACTGGGATAAACCAGGAACATCGCATTATGGGATAAACTTGGAACCTCAAATTACTGGGATAAACTGGGAACCTCACATTACTGGGATAAACTGGGAACCCCACATTATGGGATAAACTGGGAACCTCACATTATGGGATAAACCAGGAAACTCGCATTATGGGGTAAACTGGTAACCTCACATTATGGGATAAACCGGGAACCTCACATTACTGGGATAAACCAGGAATATCGCATTATGGGATAAACTGGGAACCTCACATTTCTGCGAACCTCAAATTATTGGATAAACTGGGAACCTCAAATTACTGGGAAAAACTGGGAACCTCACATGATGGGATAAACCGGGAACCTCACATTACTGGGACCGCCACATTATGGGATAAACTGGGAACCTCACATGATGGGATAAACTGGGAACCTCGCATTATGGGATAAACTGGGAACCTCACATTACTGGGACCTCCACATTATGGGATAAACTGGAAACCTCACATTATGGGATAAACCAGGAACCTCACAACCTCGCATTATGGGATAAACTGGGAACCTCCCATTATGGGATAAACCGGGAACCTCACATTACTGGGATAAACCGGGAACCTCACATTACTGGGATAAACCGGGAACCTCACATTACTGGGATAAACTGGGAACCCCACATTATGGGATAAACTGGGAACCTCACATTACTGGGATAAACTGGGAACCTCACATACTGGGATAAACTGGGAACCTCACATTATGGGATAAACTGGGAACCTCACATTACTGGGATAAACCAGGAACATCGCATTATGGGATAAACTGGGAACCTCACATTACGGGATAAACTGGGAACCTCACATTATGGGATAAATTGGGAACCTCGCATTATGGGATAAACCAGGAACCTCATATTTCTGGATAAACCAGGAACCTCACATTATGGGATAAACCGGGAACCTCGCATTATGGGATAAACTGGGAACCTCACATTACTGGGATAAACCAGGAACCTCGCATTATGGGATAAACTGGGAACCTCACATTACTGTGATAAACCAGGAACCTCGCATTATGGGATAAACTGGGAACCTCACATTACGGGATAAACTGTGAACCTCGCATTACTGGGATAAACAGGGAACCTCACATGATGGGATAAACTGGGAACCTCACATGATGGGATAAACCGGGAACCTCACATTATGGGATAAACCTGGAACCACGCATTATGGGATAAACCGGGAACCTCAAATTATGGGATAAACCGGGAACCTCAAATTATGGGATAAACTGGGAACCTTAAATTATGGGATAAACTGGGAACCTCACATTACTGGATAAACTGGGAACCTCACATTACTGGGATAAACTGGGAACCTCACATGATGGGATAAACTGGGAACCTCACATGATGGGATAAACCGGGAACCTCACATTACTGGAAACCTCACATTATGGGATAAACCTGGAACCACGCATTATGGGATAAACCGGGAACCTCAAATTATGGGATAAACCGGGAACCTCAAATTATGGGATAAACTGGGAACCTTAAATTATGGGATAAACTGGGAACCTCAGATTACTGGGGTAAACTGGGAACCTCACATTATGGGATAAACTGGGAACCTCACATTATGGGATAAACTGGGAACCTCACATTACTGGGATAAACCGGGAACCTCACATTACTGGGATAAACCGGGAACCTCCCATTATGGGATAAACCGGGAACCTCCCATTATGGGATAAACCGGGAACCTCACATTACTGGGATAAACCCGGAACCTCCCATTACTGGGATAAACCAGGAACCTCACATTATGGGATAAACTGGGAACCTCGCATTATGGGATAAACCGGGAACCTCACATTACTGGGATAAACCAGGAACCTCACATTACTGGGATAAACCAGGAACCTCACATTATGGGATAAACTGGGAACCTCGCATTATGGGATAAACTGGGAACCTCACAACCTCGCATTATGGGATAAACTGGGAACCTCACATTACTGGGATAAACCGGGAACATCCCATTATGGGATAAACCAGGAACCTCACATTACTGGGATAAACCAGGAACCTCACATTACTGGGATAAACCAGGAACCTCAGATTACTGGGATTAACTGGGAACTTCGCATTATGGGATAAACTGGGAACCTCACAACCTCGCATTATGGGATAAACTGGGAACCTCACATTACTGGGATAAACCGGGAACCTCCCATTATGGGATAAACCAGGAACCTCACATTACTGGGATAAACTGAGAACCTCACATTACTGGGATAAACCAGGAACCTCACATTACTGGGATAATCCAGGAACCTCACATTACTGGGATAAACTGGGAACCTCGCATTATGGGATAAACTGGGAACCTCGCATTATCGGATAAACTGGGAACCTCACAACCTCGCATTATGGGATAAACTGGGAACCTCCCATTATGGGATAAACCGGGAACCTCACATTACTGGGATAAACTGGGACCTCGCATTACTGGGATAAACTGGGAACCTCACATTATGGGATAAACTGGGAACCTAACATTACTGGATAAACAGGGAGCCTCACATGATGGGATAAACCGGGAACCTCACATTACTGGATAAACTGGGAACCTCACATTATGGGATAAATTGGGAACCTCACATTATGGGATAAACCGGGAACCTCACATTATGGGATAAATTGGGAACCTCGCATTATGGGATAAATTGGGAACCTCACATTATGGGATAAACCGGGAACCTCACATTATGGGATAAATTGGGAACCTCACATTATGGGATAAACTGGGAACCTCACAACCTCACATTATGGGATAAATTGGGAACCTCGCATTATGGGATAAACCAGGAACCTCACATTATGGGATAAACTGGGAACCTCACAACCTCGCATTATGGGATAAACTGGGAACCTCACAACCTCGCATTATGGGATAAACCGGGAACCTCACATTACTGGGATAAACCGGGAACCTCGCATTATGGGATAAACCAGGAAACTCGCATTATGGGATAAACCGGGAACCTCACATTATGGGATAAACCGGGAACCTCACATTACTGGGATAAACCAGGAACCTCACATTATGGGATAAACCGGGAACCTCACATTATGGGATAAATTGGGAACCTCGCATTATGGGATAAACCAGGAACCTCACATTACTAGGATAAACTGGGAACCTCACATTACTGGGATAAACCAGGAACCTCCCATTACTGGGATAAACTGGGAGCCTCACATTACTGGGATAAACCAGGAACCTCACATTACTGGGATAAACTGGGAACCTCACATTATTGGGATAAACCAGGAACCTCCCATTACTGGGATAAACTGGGAACCTCACATGATGGGATAAACTGGAAACCTCACATTATGGGATAAACCAGGAACCTCATATTTCTGGATAAACCAGGAACCTCACATTATGGGATAAACCAGGAACCTCACATTACTGGGATAAACCGGGAACCTCACATTACTGGGATAAACCGGGAACCTCACATTACTGGGATAAACCAGGAACCTCACATTACTGGGATAAACTGGGAACCTCACATTACTGGGATAAACCAGGAACCTCACATTACTGGGATAAACCAGGAACCTCACATTACTGGGATAAACCAGGAACCTCCCATTATGGGATAAACTGGGAACCTCACATTATGGGATAAACCGGGAACCTCACATTACTGGGATAAACTGGGAACCTCACATTACTGGGATAAACCGGGAACCTCACATTACTGGGATAAACTGGGAACCTCACATTACTGGGATAAACCGGGAACCTCCCATTATGGGATAAACTGGGAACCTCACATTACTGGGATAAACTGAGAACCTCACATTACTGGGATAAACCAGGAACCTCACATTATGGGATAAACTGGGAACCTCGCATTATGGGATAAACTGGGAACCTCACAACCTCGCATTATGGGATAAACTGGGAACCTCCCATTATGGGAAAAACTGGGAACCTCACAACCTCGCATTACTGGGATAAACTGGGAACCTCACAACCTCACATTATGGGATAAACTGGGAACCTCACAACCTCGCATTATGGGATAAACTGGGAACCACTTTATCTCACTAGTATATTAAGAGGTAAAATTTCACCCTTAATGTGTGAATTGTTTTTTTCTGTTAAAAGAAGCATGAGAAATCCTTATAAATTTCACAAGTTTGGGGAGATTATAAAACCATTGTAAGAGAATGTCTGGGCAAAATGTCTAATATTGGGCTTGATTTAATATTTTTGGATAAGCTTTTAGAATGATTTAAAATGTTGATATCTTGTGTTATATTGATATATTTTCATATATTAATATTTTGAAAAAATCTTTTTAAAAGGTTATCCAAACATAGTAAATAGTTAAATAGATGCCATTGTCCTGTTACCTGTGACTAATTGAATCTCCGTAAATTTGGGGTAGGTATGAGTCTTTAAGGAAAACTTGCAGCTTGTGGTACGCAATGAGGTACCATTATTGGTTGACATGAACACTAGCAGGGAAACCTTGATATATGATTCATTCAGTTAGGTTTAATTTGTACAGGAAGGAAACCAGCTTATCCAAGAGAAGCCGGAGCTGGCCGGGGTGGTGAAGAAGAAGATTGAGGAGATCCGACAGTGTTGGGTTGAACTTGAGTCTAGTACACAGGAGAAGGCACAGCAACTCTTCCATTGTAACAAGGCGGACCTGGTGGTTCAAAACTATTCTGACCTCGGCAAAAGGCTTCATAGATTGGAAGAACAACTGCAGCCAGTGGAACATGTTCCAGATGTCTCCAATGTTAATACACAACTAAAAAAGCTTGAGGTGGGTTTGCTTATTGTTAAGTATTAAGTCTTGATTTATTGGTTATAGATACGTCAACGTATATCAACGTCCATGTCCATACGTCAATGTCCATGGTTGATATGGTGGCCTTATGTCTATATCCATATAACATGGCCATTTTTTATGCTTTCATTAAACTGGTCTCCGAACAGAGTACAATGTTGTCACCAATTTCAATATGTAACCATAGAGTAGACCTATCTGGTCGATTTCTCATTACGTCCTTTCACGTCACATTATATATTGTGTTAACATGCTCTAAAGTGATTCAGCAGTTTCTAAAACAATTATAATAAAATCTGTTTTCAAGCTATTTCTCACATGCAAAGTAAAACGAGGCAACAAAGAGTTGGATATTCTCCTGTTATTTAAAGGGTCAATGTTATGCCCAATCGTAGACTCCTTTTGGAGATCCCGAGTATTTTTTTTCATACTTCTGGTACCAGGTTTGGCTGTTAGATCAGAGTAGATTCATCAAGGAAGGTAATAGTTGGCCATTGTCGGCTGTGCACTATAAGGACCAATGCCCTATAACACTGTGACATTATATGGCAGTCATTAAATGTCAGAAAGTGGCCTACAGCTGATTTGCCTTAAGCTTCGGAGCACGCATAATAGTCTGCTGCTGGATCCTTAAAACAGAATGCTTGATACATTAGTAATTTATTGCATTCAAAGAATTGTAGGCTATGAACAATTGGAGGGCCATAGTTTGTGATCAAACAGTTCTCAAACTCTCTCAAGGAATTTTCCAATACTTTCAGAGAATGGTTTCATTGTGAGCATTTCTATGTCCTGTCTCTGTAATATTTATGAGCCCTTGCAATGTTGCAATGGATAAACCATGGAGCAAATGCAAGTTACCTGCGGGCTATCTAAAATCCCAATGCACATTTAAATAGCTGGAGGTTTTAGTACAACTTCAATGGGCACTAGATTGTAAGCTAACCTGCCACATCAAGGCAAAACCTCTAAAAAAGAAAAAAAGGCACTTACTATTCACTTTGCTGCTTTCAGCTAAAATATCGTGACAGTGAAGGTATTCTTATTAACCCTTAATAGGATAGACATGTGGTGCCATTGCTGCTGCCCAGGAGTAGTGGGAGTGTGAGCACAGAGCTCAGTTGTGTGTGTATGTAAACCATGACCTGTGAGAGATGGCAAAGATTGGACCTGTAATCCCCTCGGAGAATAATCCACCTGTAGCTCTGCAGCTGCTGACAAACTGTGACCACATGATGTCCAGCCAACAGCAGCTGCAGAGAGCCAAGCTGACTATTCTATACTTCATTGTTACAAAGTGACCATGGTGGACCAGAATACTTTATCGTGTTCCGTGTACATATCATAGTTTGGGGCGGGAGGGACGGGTTGTACGTGGATCTGTTGTTTACATCCAATGTGCTTTTCCATCCAACAGTGAGCCATTCTCCCCTTTAATCGGCATGTGGCAGATAGCGCCAGAATAACCATCCAACATCACTAAGCAGTTTGTGTCTCAGCCCAAACTGCTTGCCTGCATCAGGGTACAGTAGTCCTGTGTGTTATCTCTCCAAATCATCCTTCATCTCCACTCCTTCCTTCTCACGTCTTGCTTCTTTCTGGCTGTACTTCTCTGTGTCTCAGGGGGATTCATTTAAAACTTGAGTATACCTAAAAAAATCAAAAGAAGGACATTGTATTTGTAATTTAGTTTTGATGTAGAATTCTGTGATTCCGATTGCATTATCGTTATGCTAAGATCAGTTTAAATGTGGGATTCCGTCTCTATATTCAGCTTGCTTTGATGAAGTGATATCCTCGTTGCTAAATTTAGCACAAAAAAATCCAATTGGATACCGAAAAAAAACTCCCCAACATGCGGATTTTTACAGCTGGTGAATGGCTTGTCACTTAATCAAAATCTCAAAACTCAAAGTGTAGTTATTGCCCCTAAAAAATAGCAACACATCCCGTAAATGAAAGGGGATTCTTCTACGTTTGTTTTATTTTAAATATCACTAAATATCTTACAGTATTTTGGAGTTTGACCCAATTCCTTTTGCTCCCCCCCGCCCCCCGCCCATCCCTTCGGGGATCATTGGGGTTTTATCACATAGAAAGGATTTTGGGGCCAATATAGCCCAGTTAATCTAGGTGCATTGGAGACGTTTACACGCTTATTGTGTCGTAAAATGTGTAGGGGTCACTGATACAGGGTCAGAGAGGGCTTTATCAGCATTTAGGGACTGGTCCCTTTGGAATATTTCACATTCTTTTAGCACAGCCTTTAACCCTCTGCCTGTGAGAGCAGATTCATTTTTGCTTCCGAAATGGTTACATAATGGGCTTTGTTTGCTAAGTTGGGAATTGTGGAGATGTGACAGAGAAACTGTAAGTATTAGACCAATTGGGAAACTTTTTTCTGTTACTTCGTCCTAAACTTTGCAAACGTTCCCTGCCTGCTTCCCTCAATTCTTGGTTTAACGAATAAACGCCATAGTGCCACAGCTTCTGAAACTGACTGAAGTATCTGCAGCGCTGGGGGTGGGAGATGTGACTTCTGTAAACGTAGTCAAGTTTAAATGAATTCTCCTTCTCTTCTCTCTCCTGTACTTCCTTCAAGACTGAATTGATAGAACGAAATTGTATGAAGAATTATAACAATTGTAACAAGAATTAGCATTAAAAAAACTAGGACTTGCCTCGGTAAGTCCCCTATTTACAGCCACAGGGGTCTACTTTAATCAGGAAATAGATAACCACTGGAGTCCTGCACCAGTCGCATAATAAGTTAGAAAGAAATAGAATAATAGAAAGTGAGCAACCAATCAGAAAGGCAGCCAAGTGTACGCGGTGTACTGACTATTAGTGAAAGTGATTTATAGATAAAATGTCATGACACGTTCAGACGTTACCTTTATTTATGTACGGTGAGAGCCAGAGGTCTAGTTGTAGTGAGCGATGGCTGACCATTATAAAGCAGGACTAGGGAACATGTAAAGGATGATCTTATTTAATGTAAGAATATTATTATTTTCCAATTGATTAATTGTTATAAATGAAAAATATAATTTGCAAAACTTAGGCCATTAAATACCAAATGTGGAAATCTAACATTATAAATTGAGCAAACTGTATTTTCATTTCTCAAAACAGAGCAGGATCAGTCTTTGGAAACATTGCAGACAGTTTTGTGCCATTTCTTTGGTGATGTAACAGATTTATCAATTTTTCTAACACTTTTTTCTGCTTGAAAGGTGGTTTTGTGTTTTCACTTCTATTTTTTTCCTCCACTCTAAATTGGTCATCAGTTTGCTCCCATTCTGTAGGCCATTGTATCTCCAATGAAAGACCAGGAGGGGGCCTCTTGCCCCACTGTCTTAGCTCTCCGTTTGCTCCCTTTTCGTAGGCCATAGTATCTTTAATGGAAGACCAGGCCGGGCCTCTTGCCCCAATGTCTTAGCTCTGTTTGCTCCCTTTACGTAGGCCATGGTATCTCCAATGGAAGACCAGACGGGGCCTCTTGCCCCACTGTCTTAGCTCTCCATTTGCTCCCTTTCCGTAGGCCATGGTATCTCCAATGGAAGACCAGGCAGGGCCTCTTGCCCCACTGTCTTAGCTCTCTGTTTGCTCCCTTTCCGTAGGCCATGAAACCTTTAATGGAAGACCAGGGAGGGCCTCTTGCCCCAATATCTTAGCTCTCAGTTTGCTCTCTTTCCATAGGCCATGGTCCCTTTATTTGAAGACCAGGTAGGGCCTTTTGCTTTGATGTCTTAATTCTCTGTTTGCTTCCTATCCGTAGGCCATGGTATCTCCAATGGAAGACCAGGCAGGCAGGGCTTCTTGCCCCAATATCTTAGCTCTCAGTTTGCTCCCTTTCTGTAGGCCATAGTATCTCCAATGGAAGACCAGGGGGGCCTCTTGCCCCACTGTCTTAGCTCTCCGTTTGCTCCCTTTCCATAGGCCATGGTAGCTTTAATGGAAGACCAGGGGGGGCCTCTTGTCCCACTGTCTTAGCTCTCCGTTTGCTCCCTTTTCATAGGCCATGGTATCTTTAATGGAAAACCAGGCAGGGCCTCTTGCCCCAATATCTTAGCTCTGTTTGCTCCCTTTCCGTAGGCCATGGTATCTCCAATGGAAGACCAGGTGGGGCCTCTTGCTCCACTGTCTTAGCTCTCCATTTTCTCCCTTTCCGTAGGCCATGGTATCTCCAATGGAAGACCAGGCAGGGCCTCTTGCCCCACTGTCTTAGCTCTCTGTTTGCTCCCTTTCCGTAGGCCATGAAACCTTTAATGGAAGACCAGGGAGGGCCTCTTGCCCCAATATCTTAGCTCTCAGTTTGCTCTCTTTCCATAGGCCATGGTCCCTTTATTTGAAGACCAGGTAGGGCCTTTTGCTTTGATGTCTTAATTCTCCGTTTGCTTCCTATCCATAGGCCATAGTATCTCCAATGGAAGACCAGGCAGGCAGGCAGGGCCTCTTGCCCCAATATTTTAGCTCTGAGTTTGCTCCCTTTACGCATGCCATGGTCCCTTTGATCTGGAAAACCAGGCATGGCATCTTGCCCCAATATCTTAGCTCTCAGTTTGCTCCCTTTCCATAGGCCATGGTATCGCCAACGGAAGACCATGGAGTGCCTCTTGCCCCAGTGTCTTAGCTCTCAGTTTGCTCCCTTCATACAGACCATGGAATCTCAGATGGAGGAATGGTATAAAGAAATGGGAATGCTTCAAGCTCAGATCGCCTCCCTCCCTCTGGACGTGGCAAGCCAAGAGGCCGTGGAGGAGAAACAGAACGAAGTCGGGACCAGGATCGTCCGCCTGATTGAGCCTCTCAAGGAGCGCAGAAGGATCCTTTTGGCTTCAAAAGAGGTGCATCAGGTCACACGAGACCTAGAGGATGAAATTGTGAGTATAAAATCATTAATCTCATTACAGAATAGAGTCATCAATCATCATTTATAGAGGAGATAATGGAACGTTTTAGGAACAAATCAATTCCTGTGTATTAAATAATGGAAAATATACAAGGACAAAACATTTCCTGCACAGAAAGACTGACGGTTCTTGTAGTAGAAGGGGATATTATGACCGGTTTATGGACTTAGTGAGGGGATCAAGTTAAGGATTCTATGGGTATGTCGGATCTTTCTGCTGATGTCTTATTATTTTCTGTGTTTGACTTGTGCCAGTTCTGGGTCCAAGAGAGACTCCCGCTCGCCACATCCAAGGAGTATGGAAGCAACTTGCAAACGGTGCAGCAGTTTACCAAGAAAAACCAGGTGAGAGGCCGACTTGGAGTCCCACCTCCAGCAACCTGCGAACAGCTCGGGCATTTATGAATGGTCAAATGTCTGGACAGCAAGCACAATCAGTCCAGTTTCTCTTCCAGTGACCACGAGCTGGGAAGGGAGCTGTGGAGACACACTATCACCTCTCTACAAATCTCCTCTCCTGGCCCGTCCGTAACTGGAGATATGCGAATTAATACAAAGCACAGGTGCAGGGGTAGACAATTTACGGCAATCCAGATATTTTGGACTACATCTCAGCTGATGCTTTGCCAGCATTTTGGTTGTAAGAGCATTATGGGAGATGTAGTCCAAAACACTGAGAGAGCTGAAGGTTACCCTGGGTTAGGGTGTGAACTAACCAACTCCCAGCCATGAGCACCTCTGCTTTGCATGACATTGTCCCAGACACAGAAAATCTGATATAGCATGTTTTCATACTGTCCCAGAATGCCATTAGGAATATGCAAATAATCCCAGAACCTTTTTCACATTCCACCTGAAAATCACAAGTGTATATTATTTAAGGAAGGGTCAGACAGTCCTGCTGTGTGTTTTACAGTTGATCAAAGCATGCAATCTGTTTGTAAGGCTCCGAGACAGTCACAAAATGTAAGAAAAATACCCAACTCATCAATACTTTGCACTTAACATCAATCTGCAATTTTTATTTTTTAAATTTTTTTAGTGCAGTTTGGTGTTTAGTCAGTAAACCCCACTGGTTATTTGAGAATATATTTATTACTGCTAAAATGTATTTATAATTGTAGAATGTATAGATTTTTGGATAATATATTACTTTTTGTACAATGTGTTATTTGGGTATTACTGATTATTGGAAAATGCATTGATTATGGCTGCATATATTCATTATTGGAGAATGCATTGACGGTCGTTGAATGTATTGATTGTTATAGAATGAGTGGATTATCAGAGAATCTATTGACTATTGACCTTTTCTGCTAGAACCTGCGACGTGAGATCCAGGTCCATTCGTCTCGCGTTGATGACCTTTTGGAGCGAGCTGGAGCCATCGCAAGTATCCGGACTCCAGAAGCAGAGGGTGTGCGTATTGGCTACGAGAACCTGCGTGAGATGTGGGACCTGCTCCGAGAGCAATCTGAACGGAGGCAGCAGCTTCTCGATATCAGTTACCAGGTCCAGCAGTATTACTTTGATGTGGGAGAGGTGGAGACGTGGCTCAGCGAGCAGGAACTTCTCATGATGAACGATGATAAGGGCAAGGTGAGACCCAGACATCGCAGACTGCAGGGGGGTTCACAGTGACACTCAGAGGCTGTAAAATGAGAAAAAGCTGTAGTTTTAGCTGATTGGAAGCATCCGTGATGCACATATTAATTTTGAATGTAGATACCAAAAGGATTGTAAAAAAACCATACAGAACATACTTATAGACAAAATAATAAGCAATTTCTGTGTAATAAATCAAAGTAGAGGTAATGCTGTGCTTATATTCCGAGGGGAAAAGAAAGTGGGGTAGTAGCATTGTCCTTTTAACAGTCACCATGCTCCTTCTTAATTCTCTATCTCCTTTATATTCCTCCCCTTTCCCTTCTTTCTATTTATTATCCCCCTCAGCCTTCTTAATCGCTCACATCTTACTCTCCTTTCTCTAATAACCATCTCTCTCTTCTCTCACCCATCCTTTTTCTCTCCGTTCTCTCTCCCCCTTTTTGGATATATTACGCAGCCGTGGGGATCTGTGCCACCCTTTCAGAAATGTGATTTTTCAAAACTCGACTGTCTGATGTACCTTTAACTCTCTCCCCAGGATGAACAAAGCACACTTCAACTCCTGAAGAAGCACCTTATGGTGGAACAAACCATTGAGAACTACGAGGAGACGATTGCACAGCTCTCCCGGCAATGCCGCAGCCTTCTTGATCTGGGCCACCCAGACAGGTGAGAGGGTGACATTCTGTACTCCCATCAAACCTGCATGCTTTGTCTGAGCCAATATGTTTCAGCTCCTTGTTGTTGCATTTAATATTTCCTTACACAGTCCATTTATCTAGTGTACATAATACCTGAGACAATGTATACTGCTGAGCTGACATCTTCATTCACCTGAGCCACCAGTACATGACCAATTAGCTCAACCTCACCTGGGGCCGGGAAATAACGCTCGCCCTCCGGCTTAGACGAGAGACCATGTGCAGGAGTAAATATTGCAAGCAGATTCTTAGAAGTAAAAACTGTAAAATTAAAGTATTATTATCATCCAGGGTATTTCCTAAATTTCCACTTGGATCAAAATCAGGACAACTCTCCCAATGAACTCAGCAGGAGTACTGGGTGTCTTTGGATGATCCTTTCTGGAGCTTGGGGACATTGAGTTCCTCAAATTCTGCTGAAGAACTCTCAGCCCCCAAAATCCAGGGCATAGATAATGTGAAAAAGGAAATAACATTTAGATAAACAGACAGTTTAAAAACATATATATATATTTTCATGTAACGTTTCGGTTTTGGTCACTGGGCCATCACAGGGATATAGGTCATGACATCAGGTTCCTCAATACCTAAAATTCTAAGTTCTGGATGCAGCTGTTCCCCTGGTGCAGATATTTCTCCAAAGTCTCCTTTGGGATATTTTAGTGGGTTTCAATGACTGGGAGCAGTTGTGCATTGATGCTGCAGGTTTTAGTTTTCATAGAGACCTCTGTTGTAATGTGCTCTCAACTAATGCACTGACTACTGTCTTTGCATAGCGAGCAGATAAGTAGGCGTCAGTCACAGATTGATCGGCTCTACGTGTCTCTGAAGGACCTGGTGGAAGAGAGGAAAGTGCGCCTGGAGCAGCAGTATTGGCTTTACCAGTTAAGTCGGGAAGTGGATGAGCTAGAGCAGTGGATTGCAGAGAAAGAGGTGGTGGCTGGATCTCCTGAGCTCGGCCAGGACTACGAGCATGTCACGGTAAGTGTCTCCATGAGTGGCAAAGGATATAGTTTGAAAACCCTGTATGCAGTTCTGTCTTGTATCATGATTACTTCAACTGTATCTAGTGGGAATCTGGAGAAGCAGCTATTTTCATTCGTTTATATAAGTTCACAGAAAGTAGACCTTTTTTTTTGCCTTGTACTTCAACGTCCATGATCAATGTTACATTTTTCTTCTAGCTTCTGCAGGAGAAGTTTACCGAGTTTGCCAATGAAACAGGCAGCATTGGGCACGAACGCATTTCTGCTGTCAACCAGATGGTGGATGAGCTTATTGACTATGGTCATGCGGATGCAGCCACCATAGCCGAATGGAAGGATGGCGTGAACGAGGCATGGGCCGACTTGTTGGAGTTGATGGAGACTCGGGCTCAAATGCTATCTGCTTCTCATGAACTACACAAGTTCTTTAATGACTGTAAAGAGGTCCTCTCCCAGGTGGAGGAGAAGAAGCAGAGACTGCCAGAAGTAAAAGCCCAAGAGGGCAAGTTGTCAGCTGGATGTTTGCAAAGGATTCTGAGCTCTTTCGAACATGATATCCAGATCCTTGTCACTCAGGTGATTAACGGAGAAGCCCATTGATAAAATATTTGTTCTGATTTTTCTTGCAGTTCCATACAATTTCCGTTAGAGTAGAGCTTATGACATTCCTGGTTCAAGTGTAGGATATTCCGCTCTGGGCAATATGTTAGCGCTAAATTAATAATTGTAATTGTACGACAAAGATCCTGGTGACTGAGATAAAAGACTTTCTTATGATACCTAGATAAATAGAAACTATTGATAACGTAATGTCAGGGCCTACTTTAATCAATATGCAGCATTTATGAGGATAATCCCCAAAAAAGGAAATGTTTAATTGTAAATCATTTTTTAAACATAATAGGTACGGCAGCTCCAGGAGAACGCGGCACAGCTACGCACAGTCTACGCCGGCGAGAATGCGGCTGCCATTGTTACCAGCGAGCAGGAAGTAATGCGGTCTTGGAAAGAATTGCTGAGCGCTTGTGAAGACTGCCGACTGCAGATCACCACCACCACTGACCGCATGAAGTTCCTCAATCTGGTGAAGGACCTTATTTCATGGATGGAGAGTATCATCTGTCAGATCGGGACGGGAGAGAAGCCAAGGTAACAGACAGCAATATGTCTCTAGCTATAAACGGTCTTTAATAAACACAGGACCACCTCTGTCTGTCTCCAACTTAAAAAAAATATCATAGATCATCAGGGTTATTACGTACACAAAGTAGCCAAAATAGCAGAGTTTGAGATTTTTTTTAGAGTTTGAGGATTTCCATGATCAATTATTCCTTTAAAATTATAGATGAGGATCAACCAGTTTTGTAAGGAAATCATTCACACTATTTGTTCGTTGTGCTTGTCGTATTTCCTAACAGAAACTAGAAAAAGCACGGCTCGTCCAATTTTCGGTTTGTTTGTTTTCTGTGTCTTCGTATAGATAGAATCTTTCTTGTTTTCTATGCTTAGCACAACAAACCAATGATCTTAGATAAAGTTTTCTCCACGGCCGTTCCAGACTATGATTCATTTGGGTCCATCTGATTGTACAGGTCTCTGATTAAGCATTAGTTTTCTTGTCTTTAGCCGCGTTTCTCGTTCTTTCGATCCCCAGTCTTTCTCTTGCCCACGCGACTTGTGGCTCATTTAATCAATCTCAAATTCGTTGCCATCTGTTAACAGGCCACAACAGGGAATGTTTCAGCTCTCTGTGTCTTCTGGAAAAGTTCAAAAGAACAAGCACTTCATGTAGTTTTGCAAATAATAACTGACAATAACATGTGGAGCCTTTAACAAAGACTGTACGTGGTCCAAAATCTAAAATAAATTGTAGGAATAATTCTATACAGAATGCCGCATTGTTATAGTTTGTGATACACTGTATGTACAGGATGAGTCAGAAGCCCCCCGCGTCCCCCTCTCAAACACCCACTGCTTGCTTAATGATTGATTCATTTCAATATTGCCATAAAGTAATAGACTTGTGGGTGGACATTACTTCCCCTAAGCCTCACCTGAGTGCATTAACATTGCAGGGATACTATAGATCATGGCTAATACACTAAAACACATTAAAAACGATAAGAATCATAAGAAATAAATCACATTTAATGTTCCTACGTTTGCTGCACGTTTACAAGTGTTGCATCTTCTGTAGAGAGTTCTGCACAGACTAGAATTGACTCAGCCAGTCGTTACTTTATATAGCACAGGGTGAGCTTAATCCTCTATCAGTGCTTTATGGACACATCAAGGGATTCTGGGAGTTGTAGTTCAATTATTGGATTCTACTGCAGATATCACGCCAATTGGTACAAGAATATTACTGGAATACACAGGGAATCCCTGCGGAATGAGAAGGGGGTTAGAAATAGTCGTCCATTGGATCAAAACTAATTATTATTTATTTTACAAAACAAAAGCCTAATTTTCTGTTTCCATTGCAATATGTGGGGTGTACTGCACAGTGAGGGACATTATGAACCGCAATGCACAGAATGTGACAGAGAGCATGCCGTGCGGGATTCCAAGCATATCCTGGCCTTAGATTAGTGGGAGTTTCATTAATTCAGCCTCTGGGAGTGGGGCTGCAGAAGGAGATAATGTAATTCTCTCTCCATAGATCCTCTCCCAGCATGTCATTAGGGATAGCCACTGCAAGGTAGTGTACATCCCACCAATCTCAGATTGAGAAAGATTTCCACTGAAATGCTAACTGCTTAACCAAATAACAATCAGCACTGCAGGCCCCAGCCGGGCATTTACCAGGAAAAGAGTCAGATCAAAACGTTGATTGTCATTTAATGGTTAAATCAACATTCATCACAAGACCTGGGAGTGCTGTTCATAATTTATTTGAGAGAGAGAGAGAGAGAGAGAGAGAGAGTGAGAGTGTGTGTGTGTGTGTGTGTGTGTATATATCTATCTATCTCAACAGGTGTGGTTTGCTGGGTGTTAAGAGCCAATAATAATAATAAAAAAAGTAACTAGGAAAGGTACATTCAGATTACTCTGGTTTCCAAGTACATCTTGCCCAACATCCAGAGGATGGTTTAGCTGTGTTCTGATTCGCAATGACTGAGGGCTCGGCCTTGTGTTTCGGTGATAATTGAATGAAGCATTGTTCAGGGATATGTGAGTGAATGAAAAACTCTGCTGTGTGGTTCAGCAATGCATGGCTCCATAGCACGATTTCAGAATAAATTGCTCTGCACTGGGGTTCTGTGATTAATAAATTGCTCTGCAGTAGGGTTCTGTGATTTAATAAATTGCTCTGCAGTGGGTTTCCGTGATTAATAAATTGCTCTGCAGTGGGTTTCCATGATTAATAAATTGCTCTGCACTGGGGTTCTGTGATTAATAAATTGCTCTGCAGTGGGGTTCTGTGATTAATAAAGTGCGCTGCAGTGTGGCTTGGGTAATACATGTTGAATGCCATGTGTATTTTATGACTTGTTGTTTCAGAGATGTGTCCGCTGTGGAAGTTCTGATGAGTTACCACCAGGGTCTGAAGAGTGAGATTGAGACCCGGAATAAAAGGATTGTGGATTGTGTGGAGCTTGGAAAAACCTTGGTTCTTAATAACAGACCAGCATCAGATGAAGTTAGTAATTCTTCAGAGTATCGTGCTCTCTATCTTACTTCTTACCACCATAGTACTCACTACCCAACATCCCTTCATCCTACCGACTAGCCATCATAATATCCATAAACCCATCATAATACTCACCACCCAACATCCCTAGATCCTACTGACTACCCATCGGAATATCCATAAACCCATCATAGTACTCATTACCCAGCATCCCTTCATCCTACTGACTACCCATCGGAATATCCATAAACCCATCATAGTACTCACTACCCAACATCCCCTCATCCTACTGACTACCCATCGTAATATCCACAAACCCATCATAGTACTCACTACCCAACATCCCTAAATCCTACTGACTACCCATCGTAATATCCATAAACCCATCATAGTACTCACTACCCAACATCCCTTCATCCTACCAACTACCCATCGTAATATCCATAAACCCATCATAGTACTCACTGCCCAAATCCCTTTATCCTACTGACTACCCATCGTAATATCCATAAACCCATCATAGTACTCACTGCCCAAATCCCTTCATCCTACTGACTACCGATCATAATATCCATAAACCCATCATAGTACTCACTACCCAACATCCCTTCATCCTACTGACTACCCATCGGAATATCCATAAACCCATCATAGTACTCACTACCCATATCCCTTCATCCTACTGACTACCCATCATAGTACTCACTACCCAACATCCCTTCATCCTATGTAAGGACTGACAGAGGGGTGAGGTGTGAGGGGAGCAACTGGAAAGGAACATCAGTATGGCGGAAGCATTAATTATAGACTGTAGCGGGGTAATGCTGCTTCTGGGAAGACCAGACCAGACCAGACCAGTATAAAGACAAAATAGAAGGGGTTGCGATAATCCATGAGAGAGATTACTAGAGCATGGACAAGCTCCTTAGTAGTATCTTGTGTAAGAAAGGGGTTGATGTGGGCGATGGTTTTTAAGGTGCAATCGGCAGGATTTGACAACATACTGAATGTGAGGCCAGAATCAAAAATAACACCAAGACAATGTGCTTGTAAGGATGGGCTGATGTGGGTACCACCAACTTAAAGGGAGAGCAAGAGAGAGGATCAATATTAAGAGGAAAGAAGTTCAGTTTTAGAGAGAGATTGAGTTTCAGAAAGCGGGAGGACATCCAATCAGACATGGAAGAAAGGCAAGTGGTGACACGTTGCAGAATGGCAGGGGAAAGGTCCAAGGAGAAGGGATATATCTGGGTGTCTTCTGCATGCAGGTGGTAGTGGAATCTAAATTAGGTAATACGTTTTGAAAGAGAGGCAGTATAAAGACAAAATAGAAGGGGACCAAGGACAGAGCCTTGGGGGACTCCGACCGAGACAGGATGAGGGTAGGACATATCATTAGTAAAAGAGACACTGAGTGAGCATTGGGAGAGATAGGAGGAAAACCACGAGAGGACAGAGTCACAGAGACTGAGTGATTGAAGAGTTTAAAGAAGGAGAACATGATCAACGGTGTGAAAGGCAGCTTTAATAGGAGTGGAGGGGGCAGAAGCCAGACTGAAGAGGGTTAAGGAGAGAGTTGGAATTAAGGAAGTGAGCCAGACGGGTAAAGACAAGGTCTTTCCAGAAGCTTTGAGGAAAAAGGGAGCAGGGATATGGGATGATAGTTAGAGGGGGAGGACGGGTCAAGAGATGTTTTTTTTTTTCAGGATAGGTACTACAGTGGCATGTTTAAGGTCAGCAGGGACAACTCCAGAAGAGAGAGAGCAGTTGAAGATGTGTGTTAAGGAAGGAGCAAGACAGGGGGAGAGAGATCTGATGAGGTGAGATGGGACAGGGTCGAGCAGGCAAGTGGTGGGGCAAGAGGAAAGGAGAAGCGCAGCCACCTCTTGTTCAGTAGCCAGAGAGAAAGTCTGAAGGGTAGGAAAGGCATGATCTACGTGTGGTTGAGAAAGAGAAAGGCAAGGTGGAGAGAATTCTTTCCTTAGCTGTTCAATCTTGTCGGTAAAGTAGCATCCAAAGCTATCGGCTGTAAGGTTAGTTTGGGGGGTCGCCACAGGAGGGCAAAGAAGAGATTTAAAGGAGTCAAAGAGACGCCTGGGATTGCGGGAGCATGAACTAATGAGAGAGAACAAGTATGACTGTTTGGCGAGGGCAGGGGCTGCGCTGTATGAACACAATATGAATCTATAATGGAGAAAGTCCGACTGGGTGAGAGTCAGTTCTTCCAGGAGCGTTCAGCATAACGGGAGCATCTTTGCAGGTAGCATGTTGATTTAGTATGCCACGGTTAGGGGCGTGTCCTCCTCGAGGTGCATGTTTGGAGCGTGGTGGCATCGTTCAGTGCAGAGGTGAGGGTAGTGTTATATGCGGAGATGGCCAGTGAGGGACAGGAGAGGGAAGGGATGGATTAAAATTGTGAGTCAAAATCACCTGACAGCTGCTGGAGGTTAATATTCTTATTATTGCCATTTATATAGCGCCAACAGATTCCGTAGCGCTTTACAATATTATGAGAGGGGGAATTTAACTATAAATAGGACAATTACAAGAAAACTTACAGAAACAATAGATTGAAGAGGACCCTGCTCAAGCGAGCTTACAGTCTGTAGTAGGTAGGGTGTAAAACACAACAGGACCGGAATAGAATTAAGATTCCTCCTGAGTTAAGGGGGGTTAGGCTGAAGTTGTTGGGTGAGGGGCTATTGAGTGCAAATAATAAGAGATGATGATCTGAGAGAGGAAATTGAGTGTTCTGGAGATTAGAGACTGTACATTCATGAGAGAAAATAAGATCTAAAGTATTGCCCGCTACATTGGTGGGGGAATTAGCCTACTGCGATAGCCCAAGGGAGGAGGTAATAGGAAGTAGTTTTGAGGTTACTGAGGTCAAGTGTAGGTTAATGGGAATGTTCAAGTCCCAGAGAATTAGGGATGCAATATTAGGGCAGAAGAAGTAGGGTAGCCAGGCAGCAAAGTGGTCAAGGAAGAGAAGAGGGGAGCCACGGGGGCGATAAATAACAGCAATGTTAACAGAGATGGGTTTAAAATGACAAATTTAATGAATCTCAAATCAGGAGAAAGAGTGGGAAGGAGGGGTGGGTAGAGGTTTGAAGGAGCAGTGAGGTGAGAGCAGAAACTCTACACCACCACTTTGACATTCAGAGTGTCTTGGGTTGTAGGAAAATTGAAGACCACCAAAGGATAAAGAGGCAGAGGTAGCACTGTCAGAAGGGGAGAGCCAAGTTTCTGTTAATGCTAGTAAGTGTAGGAAACCCATCATCTCACTCGTTATCCCATCAATTCACTCTTCACCCATCACTCCATGAGCTCACTAATTACCCAGAATCCCATTAGATCGGTATCCATCATAGTAATGCCAGATTCACCTGTTACTGTGAATGTTTCAACGACCCTCATCTCAGTGAATAGCAGGGCATTCCCTCCCTTACGGTAGCTCAGACACCATGTTGTTTATCTCTTTAGATCAAGCAGAGCCTGGACCGACTGATGGCAAAGAAGAAGGAGCTGCTGGAAAAATGGGACCAGCACTGGGAATGGCTGCAGCAGAGTACGTATCAGGACAAAACCAAAAATGCAGACAAACAGAACGGAGTGGGCGGACCTCATGCCATGTAACGAGGGTCTAATTAGGGTCGCCATGGAAACCCGTGCAGCTCCCACACAGTGCTTCCAGGTGTCCCCCTAATGAATGCGGGGGAAGCACTGGAGGAGAGTTTGTACCAAAAACGTTAACTGCTTCAGCTGAATATTAGTATGTGTATCAGGAGCTGAGAGGGTTTCTAACTCCAGATCATACAACTAACTTTTATTTAATAACTTAATAAAAACAAACTCATGATGCTGTGGTTGGACTGTGACCATGTTTTCAGGATTACTAATCTGTATTGCAGATTTTAAAAACACTATAAGCATTACAACAACGTTATTTTAGTGAAGCAGTTATGGTGTATAGATCATGCCCTGCAGCCTCCGCCATTTACAGTTAAATCACGTTTGTTTCAGTTTGAACAGCCCTAAACACACCTGCCCTGGCTGTGACTGACATAGGCTGCATGAAAACAAAATGGTTTCACTTTCAATCAGACATTAAGTTGCTTTAGAAGGTTTTATCGCGTGCTCTGAACTTTAATCACATAACGTAGACTTCTGCAGGGTCCGTGAGGCTAATTACAGTACAGGAGATACGAAATTCTAGATTAAACATAATGTACAATACAGCAAGTGTTCCAGGAAGTGTTTAGAAAGGCTGTGCAAGTCACATGCAAGGAGGTGTGCCTAGGGCTGTATAAACAAAGCGTTTAACTCCTAAATGGCAGCAAATTGAGCAGTGAGACCACAGAGGCATAATCTATACACCAAAATGGCTCAATTATGCCAAAGTTGTTTTGGTGCCTATAATGTCCATTTAACCCCGTAAGGACCATATCATAACAGTCTATGCTGTTGTGCAGGGCTTTAACACCCTGTGACGGCATAGACCGCTATGGAGTAAAGGTACCAGCAGGTGTTAAATCCCTGCAGGTACCAAGGAATCCTAGGTATCTTTTGATACACGAGAGACCCCTCTGTTAGTAGCCCCAGACTGAAAAAAGCAATGTGCAGCATTCAATGTGAGCACGGTACATAGCGCTTTAAATGGATCTAAATACCACAGCCGCAGTAATTTAAATGTAGCCAAATACATTTAGTGTCCCCCCAGCCTGGCACAGTGTCCTCTGTTATAAGGGAAATCCACAGGGTTTAAAAGACCCTGGGGAAGGTGTCGCTGCATGCTCCTTAGCCCAGTAATCGATGCTGAGCTCTACCAGCTGTCCAGCACTGATCTCTGTGTGAGAAGCTGCAGCATTAGAGTGAGTCTCTCCTGTCATGCTGCAATCACACTGTGCAGAGCGCTCACAGAGCACCCTGGCTTTCCCACTTCACACACCATCTTCTCCTTCCACACAGTGCTGGAAGTCCATCAGTTTGCCCAGGAAGCTGGAGTGGCGGAAGCATGGTTGACAGCCCAGGAGCCCATTGTGAAGAGCCCAGAGCTGGGTAATAGTGTTGATGAAGTAGAGCAGCTCATCCGACGACACGAAGCCTTCAGGAAAACAGCTGCAGCCTGGGAAGAGAGGTTTAGCTCCCTACGGCGTCTGACCACGGTAAGAAATATCACACCTTTAACAAAACTCACTGTTACTCTCATCGAACACATCGAAGACTAAACACCTACACTTCCTCTGTGTTGGCAGCTAGAAAAGCTTAAAGCAGAACAGAACAAGCAGCCACCAACCCCCCTCCTTGGCCGAAAGGTCTTCCCTGATACAACAGACTTTTCCACCCGTCCATCACCCCTGGCCCGTCAGACCATCCATGAGAATTCGGAGCCGAAACCGGATCAAAAAGAGACACTTTCGGTTCCTAATGGAACTCAAATGGAAGCCCACAGGACTCGAGCAGGAGAGTCCAGAGTGGGATATGTACGGCAAGAGGTGAAGCCTGAACGTCTGCAGCCAAAGATAGACCACTTGGAGTCCAAGGTGCCAGACAGGTCAGGTTCTACCCAGGAAGGACACAGAGCAGATAAGTCCGAAATAAAGGTGGCACAAGGTATGGCGACATTGACTGTTGAGAAAGCTGAAGGCAAAGCAAGCCGGCACCCAGAGAGGAGAAGAGATCGACACGAGAGACGACTGGAACGACAGGAGTCCAGCGAACAAGAAACCCCGAAACAAGAGCCGCCAGAAAGGAGACGAGATAGGCATGACAAGAGACTAGAAAGGCAAGGGTCTAGTGAGCAAGAAACCCCGAAACAAGAGCAGCCAGAGCGGAGGAGAGAGCGGCATGAGAGGAAGACAGAGAAACAAGAATCCATTGAAAAAGACATTCAAAGGATTGAGCCTGAGAAACCTGCAGGGTAAGTATGAAACTGGTACACAGAGATGAAAGGTACGTGTCCTGATGTCTGTGTATTAGGAGGGGGTGAGAGGTAGGTGTCCTGATGTCTGTGTATTAGGAGGAGGTGAGAGGTAGGTGTCTTGATTTCTGTGTATTAGGAGGAGGTGAGAGGTAGGTGTCTTGATGTCTGTGTATTAGGAGGAGGGGAGAGGTAGGTGTCCTGATGTCTGTGTATTAGGAGGAGGGGAGAGGTAGGTGTCCTGATGTCTGTGTATTAGGAGGAGGTGAGAGGTAGGTGTCCTGATGTCTGTGTATTAGGAGGAGGGGAGAGGTAGGTGTCCTGATGTCTGTGTATTAGGAGGAGGGGAGAGGTAGGTGTCCTGATGTCTGTGTATTAGGAGGAGGGGAGAGGTAGGTGTCCTGATGTCTGTGTATTAGGAGGAGGGGAGAGGTAGGTGTCCTGATGTCTGTGTATTAGGAGGAGGTGAGAGGTAGGTGTCCTGATGTCTGTGTATTAGGAGGGGGTGAGAGGTAGGTGTCCTGATGTCTGTGTATTAGGAGGGGGTGAGAGGTAGGTGTCCTGATGTCTGTGTATTAGGAGGAGGTGAGAGGTAGGTGTCCTGATGTCTGTGTATTAGGAGGAGGTGAGAGGTAGGTGTCCTGATGTCTGTTTATTAGTGAGAGGTAGGTGTCCTGGTGTCTGTGTATTAGGAGGAGGTGAGAGGTAGGTGTCCTGATGTCTGTGTATTAGGAGGAGGTGAGAGGTAGGTGTCCTGATGTCTGTGTATTAGGAGAAGGTGAGAGGTAGGTGTCCTGATGTATGTGTATTAGGAGGAGGTGAGAGGTAGGTGTCCTGATGTCTGTGTATTAGGAGGAGGTGAGAGGTAGGTGTCCTGATGTCTGTGTATTAGGAGGAGGTGAGAGGTACATGTCCTGATGTCTGTGTATTAGGAGGAGGTGGAGAGGTAGGTGTCCTGATGTCTGTGTATTAGGAGGAGGGGAGAGGTAGGTGTCCTGATGTCTGTGTGAGGTGAGAGGTAGGTGTCCTGATGTCTGTGTATTAGGAGGAGGTGAGAGGTAGGTGTCCTGATGTCTGTGTATTAGGAGGAGGGGAGAGGTGGGTGTCCTGATGTCTGTGTATTAGAGAAGGTGAGAGGTAGGTGTCCTGATGTCTGTGTAGGCCTGATGTCTGTGTATTAGGAGGAGATGAGAGGTAGGTGTCCTGATGTCTGTGTATTAGGAGGTGAGAGGTAGGTGTCCTGATGTCTGTGTGTATTAGGTGAGAGGTAGGTGTCCTGATGTCTGTGTATTAAGGGGAGGTGAGAGGTACGTGTCCTTATGTCTGTGTATTAGTAGGAGGTGAGAGGTAGGTGTCCTGATGTCTGTGTATTAGGAGGAGGTAAGAGGTAGGTGTCCTGATGTCTTTGTATTAGGAGGAGGTGAGAGGTACGTGTCCTGATGTCTGTGTATTAGGAGGAGGTGAGAGGTAGGTGTCCTGAAGTCTGTGTATTAGGAGGAGGTGAGAGGTACGTGTCCTGATGTCTGTGTATTAGGAGGGGTTGAGAGGTAGGTGTCCTGATTTCTGTGTATTAGGAGGGGTTGAGAGGTAGGTGTCCTGATGTCTGTGTATTAGGAGGAGGTGAGAGGTAGGTGTCCTGATGTCTGTGTATTAGGAGGGGTTGAGAGGTAGGTTTCCTGATTTCTGTGTATTAGGAGGGGTTGAGAGGTACGTGTCCTGATATTTCAGCAATTGTTCTCTAGGAAGGCGACTCTGGCAGATATCGTGGAGCAGTTGCAGGAGAAAGAAGCTGCACAGAACACCACTGAGGTAAGTCACGAGTTAAATTGTTGAAGACATGGGGGCAGTTGTTTCCCTGGGAGCATGGAAGGACTAGCCTGGTGGTTGTGGGCTGCAGTCTCATTCTCTGCTCCTGAGGATGGATTTTGTCGGAGGTGTGTTGGGATGTCTGTTGGCACAGTCCTGCAGGAGTGAGGCAGCAGACAGGGATTGTGCAGGGTGTTTGCTGAGCCGGCACCGATTGGGTTTGTATTGAGCTCACGGTCTGTGCACTCAATGCCTGGACTGCATGATCTGAGACTGACCACGTTGCCAGATACAATGACTTTATGATGTCTCTAGCAGTGTGACACTGACTGCAGGGTTAGAGGAGACAGTGATCATTAAATTCATATCACACATAGAGTATCACTGATCGCAATAGAATAACTAGACAGGGAGTCTGTGAATGACCCTTCGTACGGTGTGGACACACTGATGGAGGCTGCAGGGATATATGATAGAACACCTTGTAGCTGTCACGTCCATGTAACTGTCTGAGATCTGTGACTGGAATGATAGAAAGTCATTGGTTTGCCCTCAGGGCAGGTTTTTGTTATAATAATAAAAATCTATGACTTTGTGATGTCACTCATTGGCTGTGCAGTGGGACATCAGAGCAAGGAGGCCCTTGATAGACAGGCTTTCATATTGTTTTGTCCTCTAGGGCTGTGATTGAGTAACAGCATTACCATGTGAAATCAGAGATCTTTAAAATACAGAGTCAAATTCCAGCAGGAATACCAGGGTCTGCTGAGCCACCAGTTTAAAATTTCCCCAGCCACCACTGGCTTATTAATATAATAAAATATAGTAATCACTTGAAAGCCCCTGTGAGCTTGCTTTAATGAATTAGATTGCACTTTAATCTCCAAGTGGTAAAGCCGCTCTCTTTTTTTGCAGAGTAAAGAGTCTCCTGCTCGCCTACCCAATGGAGTTGAAAAACTCCCAGAAAGAACGCCAAGACCAGACCGACCAAGAGCCAGAGACAGGCCCAAACCAAGGAGAAGACCTCGTCCAAGAGATCCAAACCAACCACCAGGGGAGGCACGGCGGTCTCGTTCTGCCCCTGCACAGAGCAGTGCTCCTCCCCCACCACCTCCCACGCACACTGTTCAACAAGAAGGGTATCTCTTCAGGAAACACGAGCTGGATGGACCCAGCAAAAAGGCTTCCAATAGGTGAGTAGGCCCCAAATAATGTGCAGTACGTGCTAAGCGAGAGTGGCATCGATGTACCATCACTAAGCAGAAACATAGAGTTTCTAATCAGTAAGTAATACCAGACAGTCACCCAAATTTACCATCTTCTACTGACCTCCTTCCTCCCACAGGTCCTGGGTCAACCTTTACTGTGTGCTAAACAAGGGGGACCTTGGGGTTTACAAAGATGCCAAGAGTCAGAATTCTGGGGCGACACACGGAGGGGAGCCCCTCCTTAATCTACATGGGGCCGACTGTGAAGTGGCTAACGAGTACAAGAAGAAGAAGTTTGTTTTTAAGCTCAGGTGAGTGTTTTCATGGATGAAAACAATAAATAGTTCAAATAGGAACAGAAGTAAAATAAATATTTCTTGTTTTACCTGCAGGTCGACAGATGGAAGAGAGTTTCTTTTTCAAGCAAAAGACGAGGTAAATTTCGGGCTTGACACTTTCTTGGTTGCAACTTTACAACTGGTTATTTTCATTCCCATCGAGTATTAACCAAATGGAATTCAGAATCACATGGAGTGCTACAGTTATCATAGCTGCAGCGATTTGCAAAATTTACACCAAAACAACTGGTTTTGGAACCATTGTCCAATGCTGCTTGATCACAGATTGACTATTGTATTCATTTCAGTTTATCACAGTCGCCATTGTGTGCGTGGCCCGCCGCCCCCTATAGATACTGAGAATGTGGCCTTGCTATACCCTGTATCTGTTTTAGCAAGTTATTATAGGAGTTTCACATTAATAAAATTATAGGAAAAAAATATATATGACAGAATGTCACCATATGCGAATTATCACATATTCTGATTTCAGGCATTTTGGACACAGTGATAAACAGCAAAAGGTGTAATTAAATCTAAGCCAATCACTGGCCGCTAAGCTGTGTATAAAATAGCAGGATAGTACTAAGGGAACCGGACATAGACTGTGAGAACAAAAGGCAATAATCGTATCTACACATCTTTCCATGTCCTGCTCTGCATTCTGGGATTGCTATGTGTGGGGCCGATTGTTCAGTCTGCCTTATCATGTTTGTAAATTACAGCTGAGTAGATTTGAGAATAGCTATTATTAGGCCATTTCAGAGTTTACACATTCTATTATACCTGAATGTCTGCAGAATATAGCGACATTGATGATATTAGCTTAGTATGTTATCATTGACCGGTCAGTACTTACAGCTCAGAGTTACAGGAAATTAAGTCATTGGAATAGCACAAGCTGGCCGGAGAGAAATCTTCGTCTGTGATTCTATCAAAGCAACGTTTTCCGAAGGCAGAAGGCATTCCTTGAAAGCCTGGGTCACAGACTATTTAGTGCGAATAATATAAATGCATATTGAATAAGGTGGTGGATGTATGGGATGGCCACCCAGCAGAGATGGCACAGTCTAATAACATGGCGGGCATAGCTCAAAGCCTGCACAGAGGAGGAGGAAACAATCTAGGTTGAAGGCATTCAGAGTTATTTACTAAAGGAATAATTGTTGGGAATTCAAAGTTAATTTTAAATTCAAGGACAAAGTTTGACTAGGTTGGCCTTGAACTTGAAATTCACGTTGAATTCTCAAAATTCGCCCTTAGCAAATGGCCCTGTTGGATCTTTAAATGGGAAATAAATGGGACTAGGAGGTCCATTGAGTTCCACCCTGCCACCATGATTATAAAGGACCACAATGACTGAAACACAACTGGGGTGAATTCATTAAATCTGAATTGCAGAGAATTTACACAGAAATTGCAGTTTCTGAAGTTGGAGAATTTAAGTTTTGCCTACAATAGGCAAATTCTATTTTTTTCTAGAATATATTGTCTGGTTAGATTGTGCCTCTAATTTGAAATGTTACAATAAATTCCTCATATCCTCTGTAGGAAGAGATGAAAAACTGGATTGCAGCCGTAACCACATCGGTTTCCGAACACAGCGAGATCTCGAAGTGGAGTCAGACCCTTCTCACTACCTCCTCCACGGATGAAGGGAATATAAAACGCGAGACTGACCGCAGATCCAGCGCAGGTGGCAAGAAGAAGTGAACCACGAATAACGTGGACCTTCTACACGCCCTTCCATCAATCCTATGGCCTGTCCCAGACAGGACATCTTCAGAGATGGCTTCTGTTTCTACAGGTGGACAGAGGACAACAGGGCCTCTGCCTTCTGCCTTGTTTTTGTCTATGCATTACCTGGACATTGTCCTTCACCCCCTCAAAAGACATTTTGGGCATAGCCATTCCTCTTTCATCCTTAAACTTCCATCCCACTACACGTTCACTTGGTTCTCCCAGAGCCCTGTGGGGTAAAATTGGATTTAGCTCTCTGTAGGGCTCCATAAATCATGCGTATCTGCAGCAAGTGGTATTTAATAGAACGGGCAGGATTAAGACCACAGCGTTCGGTGCTGGGTTTGGGAGAGATTCTCAGGTCTCTAGCAGTTTGTCACAAAGAAAGCTAAAACAATATATTTTCAAAAGTTACGACCTTCGATGGTTGAAAAAGAGCACAGCTAGTTCTAGAATGAAAGACTGTCATTTTTAGAGAGAGATTTTGCTTTGCCACAGTTAAGCAGTGGTGGGTAAGATCACCTTTACTTGGTCCACAAGCCATTTTACTTTGGCTGATGAATCAGAGGAACAATGCTCTATCATTGGGTAAACGTGTAACACAGATACATATGCTCAATCAATGTACTCTCTGCAAACATACCTGATCTCCTCCTCCGTTAGCTGGTCCTAAATGTCAGATCCTGTAAGATTGGTGGAGTGATAAACGGCTAGCAGTAGCAGTGGACATGGCGACATACGTGCCTTTAAATATGGCCCCTGATAATTGACTATAGGTCACTAGAGGTGATAAACTCCCATTTACAATGCCGCCATGTTTGTAAGAGTCCATTAGGAATTCCCCTCCCCATCTCAAACAGAACTGGGATTTGTTCTAGTTTCTCATCTTTTAACGTAGACTTGTAGGTTTTTAATAGAAGAATTTTATCATCCCAGTCAAACTGCCACTAGACAAGTTCATAACATTTTTTTTGGTTTGAAGAGACTTGTAATCTCGGGTAATTTAAGAATGATCTGAAAAGCACATTAATTAAAGGGCATTACATTGAACTCGCTGTGTTTGTAAAGGACCCCAGTTCCTGCCAGGAGCCCGTGGTACAAGTAGTACTGGTTCCCCTCCCTTCATGAAGCATTACCTGCATGACCTAGGTTAATTAAGGTTAGACTGTAAGCAGACAGTACTGCATGGGCAGGGCCAATACTAAGCCACGCCTATTAGCACTTATTGACTTTATGGAGAAACTACACAGAATCAGCCCATGCAGGGAATGTTCAGAGGTAAAATAAAGTCTGTACAGGGCCAAATAGTAAGCCATGTACGAGGAGGATACTGAGAAATGGGGCCACGCAAAATCTAACCCAAAAAAGGGTAACTGTCCCGAAATCTTGCTCGCAACACTTGACCTATTGATATGTACTAAACAGTAATTCTTGACTCTCACGGTACTGGTGTGTAGGGTGCGTTATGGGGGTACAGGCTCAAACAGTCAGATTCCCCCCATTCTGGCACAGTAGTGGTCGCTGCGGAACATCACAGGACATGTGCAGACTACTAACACACCTGTGTTTAGGGATGCATCTACTTGCACACAGGTGGCCAGCTATATTTATTATCCTGCGGATGTTCAAGGTGGAGATAGACACCTCTTGCACTATTGCAAAGCATGAGATACTTCCGCTAGTGGAGGGAGCAGGTGCCATGTTATGTGTAACCGTACCCATTTCTGGACTACAACTCACATAAATCTTTGCCAGAAAATACAGTGAGTAGCTGGCAAGACTGGGGCCCAATTTTACCACTCCCTGGCGAACACCCATCTAAACACAGCAGCCATATGCAAAATATTCACTATGCACAGCTTAGCGTGTTCTGTTTCTATGTTACATACACATTAGGCAGTTTGTTTTAAAACACTGCATTTTTAGTGCTCTCGTTTTAACCCTTTATCTGCAGGAGTGAGTCCTGGATCTACTACCTTTTGCAACAAATGGATTGTTCATCTTTAAATAGGAGTTTCAAAACTCATTGGGGATAAAATAAGCTTCTTCCACCTAATCACGGAAGACTGTTCTACATCAGAAAGCCACCATGCTGTTCAGACTATGCTCCAAGCAAGAGCAAAGATTTAATATTTTTCCCAGCGTTTTCGATATAGACCAGCATTCTGTACCAAGGCCTAGAAATGACCGTACACCTTAGTATAAATCAGACCTCATCTGTGTGTTTGGTTAATGCTGGACCTGAACATTTAACGCAAAGCAACAATTTTATTCTGGAGCTTTAAGTTAATACTTCGGCAGAAATTTATTTTAGTTTTTTTCTCGATTTGCAGAATTGTGGCAAAAATAATATGAATTAAGAAAAAATAAAATAATTCTGCAAGTTTGATTTCAGATTTCCCAGATGTCACTATTAAGGATATAAAATCTCATGTTAAGGTCTTTAAATGTAGAATTTGTTATGCTGGCAAGCCTACTCCATTTGAAACGTGAGAGCTACTGCAACATGGCCTTAGCACAGTGAGAATAATGCGGGGTGTTTGTAAGTACTCTAGGCAGCTTTAATTCAGACGTTTTATGGTGGCCGTTGGTGTTGGTTTTAATTTACACTTAGGCGGCTGAAGGCGAGAACGTCCCACCTTGGAGTAGACATGAAAACAAGTTTCCTTCAGATCAGTCAAGTTTGCTTCCTGTACATCACCCATTTGTAATCCTCTCCTAGTGCTAAGGAAATGATAAATGGTTCCTCTCTCGGCTTCCATAGGTTTGATTTTAAGGACAGTAAAGTGAAATTTAAAAAAAATCAGTAAGCATACAATATCAGTGCCGAACTTTGACCCTCAAGGTTTTGGACTGCATTCCGTATAATCCTCTGAGAAATGGAGTCCAGTGGTGGAGGCTCAGTTTGGATGACCCTAGGTTACAGCGGTTTCCTATCCAGGCTGACACCATGGACTTTCCAAAATGATTTGAGAAAAATCAAGGCTTTGCATGCAATGGGTTAATAAAATAAAAAGGGACTTCTGCATGAGTAGGTCACACCATCCCACGGGATAACTGTCCCCTCACTGTAAATGGTTTTCTACAAAACGGATACAGATGTAATTTTATTGTAAAGAATCTTCAGATATTAGACATCGATATGTAAACATATATTCCCTTCCAGAGCGCAGTGCATTTTGGGTAAATAAAATAATGGACCCAGATGTCTTTATTAAATGTCTAGGTTTATACCTTTGTGGAAAAATAAAGACAGACAGATATTGTACAGTCTGCCAACTTGCTTGTGTCTTTCATTCATTCTCTACACCGCTCACCGGTGGCACTTTCCTGTAGTAAATCAGGATTGAGTGTTCGTGTAGGGAGGCCGGAGGCTCCTCATTAGTCACTTTGTGTGCATTATCTCTTTTGTAAATCGGAGACTTTATTTAGATGCATTTCACTTAATGACCTAAACGTCCAAAAGACAGTATTATAAAATCCAGCCACGTAGATCAGTCTGTGCATGTACGGTTTATAACGCCGTCTCATCTTTCCTCTGTTCCACCAAGAGATGGTCATTTTCTATGTTATTAGTCACCGTATTATAACCCACTGTTTTTGCTGACCGCCTTAAAGAGGCTCTTGGGTTCTTCAGAATCCTAAAGCCAGCCCACAGAGCCCTTACTTCCTTCAGCAGATCCTTCTTAATGCTCTCACTGACAAAGATATTGATAAAAGGGTCCAAGGCACTGCTGAGGCTCGTAAGGCTGAAACAGATCCGATAGGCTGGACGGACTTTGTTCTCTATGTCGCAGGTGCAGATATTCCGATCGCTGATGAAGGAACGGATGAAGAGCACAATGTGGTAGGGAAGGTAGCATATAACAAAGATGGCTGTCATAGTCAACAGAAGTCCAATGATCTTGCGTTTTTTATTTATTTCCAAGCTGGGACTACGGTGAACTACTCGGACTATGGAACAGTAGGAGACTATGAGAAGTACCAGGGGAATAAGAAATACCACAAAAATACGAAAATAGTTAACACGAGCCATCCATCTATCCATCGGATACTTTTCGTAGCAAAGCTTGACGTTCTGGCTGGAGTTAAACAGTTCATCCTTGCCGAGGAATATGGCATGAGAGCCCAGGATGATCAACCAAACCGCTAGACAGATAAACATTGCACCTCTTATAGTCCGTATGGCCACAGCCCGAAAAGGGAAAACAGTAGCTACAAAGCGATCTACAGCTATGCAGCTCAGGAACGCTATGGTGGTGTAGAGGTTAGCGTTGAAAAAGAAGCCAACAATCTTGCAGGTCAAAGCTCCAAAAAGCCAGTCCTCCTTGGCTGTATAAGCAATCCATACAGGAAGAGTGCAGATGTACATGAGATCAGAGGCGCAGAGATTGGCCAGGTACACGCCAAGGACATTGCCGCGTTTGACATGTTGAGCGATCACACCAATGGCCGCCAAGTTGCCAATCAGACCAACGATGAAGACGAGGGAGTAAATAATTGGGAAGAGGGTAGCTTCATATTGGCCACTGTAACCACAGACCGCATTACACGCCATGGGGAGGCAAGTATCTCACGGATCAGCAGTCAACTGTTAAGCAAGAAAAACAAAACACACAATCAATATATTATTTATACAAGGGGAAATATTGCTGAAAATTAATGTGTAAGATTAATAAAATGTGCTATCACGACAAATACACCAAATCCTGTCTGTCTACAGATTAACTTTATATCTCACGCAAAGCAGAGCAAGCACGGATTTCAATAGTTTATCAATTGACGTAACTGTATATACCGATACATCAGAAACAGATCACCCCCCGCCTCCATTTTTCTACATCAACTAAAAGGAAAATAAAACTCACATTTTACATTTTATAAGACATGTCTCAACATAATCTGCTGATTAAAAGCATGCACGCAGACACACACACACACACACACACACACACACAATCACTCTTATAACAGGCAGACAGGAAAACCAGTTGTGTCACTCTCTAGACACCAGGGGGCGCAAGCTTCCTTCTACAATTTAAAAAAAAATACAAAAATGAACAAGAGTTATTTTACACTAAACACATTAAATGTTATACATATCTGGAAGTTACTAAAACCATCCCATAAATGAGAGGGGGAGTATTCAGGGTGATTTTCACAGATAGCTGCAGTTCCCCTTAATGACAAGCAAGGTATCCCAGAATATGGTGCAGAGATTTCTCCAGGTCACTTCGGATGTGGTGACTGCGTTTGCTGAACAAGATGCGGGTTGAAAACTTGTGCATAAAGCAGACAAGGTTTTTTTGTTTGTTTTTTTAACAAAAACCCTACACAGTGGAGCGCTTATTAAAATGCTAATTATTTCAGTGATCTCACTTCTAATGTGTATAAACATTTACTAATCATGCTTATTTATTGATCAAACTATTTCACAGTGTGTATACCTTTTTAAATATAATAGATATGTGCAATAGCACAAAACAACATACATATATCAATACAAAGGGAGCACTCACATATTCTTGAGCTATATAACCTAGCTCTGGTATAGAGGGTCTGTAGAGGGAACCCCCCCCCTTCTTCTAGATTTGTAGGAGACTTATCTTCTAAATGTAGCTCAGGAAACAGACAGTATTCATAGTGTAATACTGCTTTTAAAGTTAATATATATAAAAATATACTCACGTATACTCAAGTAAAGAGCCTTAGCAATGGCTCAGTAACACAGCATTGTGTGGGTTAAGGACCACCCTTTGGTTGTTGCAGGAAACTGCATGACTCAATGTGTTTACAAAGTATATACTTTATTACTTTTAAAATAATAAAAACAACAACAGTATATAAAGATAAACAATACAGGCACCAATCTGGCACATTTGATATTTATATCGTTATATATATATATATATATATATATATAAAAAAATTTTTTTTTTTTAAATTCTTTATTTTTATTGTGCTTGTTCTGTACAGACAGCTTGCATTGCCACGACAGCTGATGCAAGCGTTTCATTATACATAATAATATAACATTCGCATGGCAAATACTTTTCGTGCACATTTGGTATGATTACTAGTAGATAATAGTTAAGCTGTGTACTAATTAGGGATGCAATAAAACAGGATAACTCAAGCAGGGCGAAGAATAGCTCACAGACCAGCTTGTGTGTATTGGAGGTTTTGTGCCATCGGGTAAGAGGCAAGGCGTGTTTTGAGGCATGTGAAACAACAGTATATGGCAAACCCAGCCTAGTCTCTCATAATTAACATTGTAGATTACATCTGGTCTGAGGGTTTTATCTTAAAGAGATATAGAAAACATTAGCTAATCAACTCAGCTAAACTATGCCGAGTGCCCTTCTTAGGAAGATCATTGGTACATTCCAATGTTGTCGCGGGGCAGTGAGGACTATGAGCCTCTTGGGAACATCGAGTGTAGGACATTAACATTTATGGCCATAGCACAAAAGGCAAACACCCGCTTTAACATGTAACTTAGTGCTGAAATCAATCATTGGGGTGAGTGGGGAGAAAGAAAAGGGTACGTATACCCCGTAGCCAGCGGGTGAGGGATTGGTGAGATGTGTCTCCAAGGACAGCTATCTGTCCACACATTGTGCAGGTTTAAGTACTTAATTATTGAATAAACAATGCAACACATTAAACAGTAACTTGGATACTAGCAGTACTATGAACATTGCGCGGAAGCATTGGACATTCAAGCTGTCTCGGTGTTAGCGGTGTTATTCCGTTGGGAAGCCAGGACAAACGGGCGGATAGTGTCCAAGTCCCATATCTGTGACTTAGGCTTTGGCGCTGGTTGGTGCGGCCCGCCTCCGCGGGGGGGAGACCAAGTTGGTGGAGAATGGTGCCCATTTCAGTTATGTCGGCAATTTTGTGAGTCCCAGTCTCGTGAGGTATCAACGGTTTGCTGGGAGTTCGCTTGCAGTTGTGGTAGCCTGTAGCACCCCTCCAGCATCATGGCTTTGGCTTGTTTTGGTGCGAATAAGCTGGATAGCAGTCTTCGGATGAGGTGGGGGATTTCCGCAGTTGTTCCGCTTTCAGCCAGGCCCCTTATTTTAACAATGTTCCATCGCCTACGATCTTTCATTGCTGCAACTTGATGCTGGGTTTGGATTAAATTGTTCTTGGTCTTAGTCAGCTCATTCTCAAGGCTATTAATGCGGGCCTCGTGTGCTGCTGTGCTGATTTCTGTGTTATGCAGTCTCACTGACACCCCATGGATTTCCTCTTTAAATGAGTTGATGTCCGCCACAATATGTCGGGCTTTCAGTCGGTCTTCAGTGACTGGGGGGCTGCTCCGTGTCTTAGGCTTGCCTGCTCTCTGTGTCTCCGCCATCAGTTCCAGGTTGGAGAGCGAGTCTTCACTGGATGTTCGGGACGGTGCGTCGGAGAGCGGCGCCATGACAGGTCTCGAGGATGCTTGTGGCCTTCACAAAAACTTGCCGATATCAGCGGTGGATGGGTGTTTTTCCGTCCGGTATTTTTTGCTTTTGCGCCCCATTGCCTTGGTAAGTTGGTAGGACTGGTATGGCAGGGTAGATTGGGCAAAAACAGCTTGGTTTTCCCCGGCTTGGGCGGAGCTCCTGAGGGACACGTCCGTTCCGTGCGGTTGCTGGCTCCGTCCCCGATATGGTTTATATTTATATACACACACACACACACACACACACACACACACTATTGTTTTTTATACCAATTGTTTTTTTAATACTATTGCCTTTAACATTTAAAAAGTAATAATAAAGTATATACTTTGTAAACACATTGAGTCATGCAGTTTCCTGCAACAACCAAGCCATTGCCAAGGCTCTTTACTGGAATATACAATGTAATAGTGTCTTATTATATATAAACTTTTAAAGTAATATTATACTATGAATACTTTGTTTCCCTTTAGAAGAGAAGTCTATTACAAATCTAGAAGAAAGGGAGTTGGGGAGGGGGGGGAGCACCTTTACAGCCCCACAGGCCTTCTATAGCAGAGCTGGGTTATATAGCTCAGGAAAGGGTGAGTGCGTCATTATTATTAATATACTGCACGTAGTAAATATCTATTCTAGTTTAACCCCCTAAGGACACATGACGGAAATATTCCGTCATGATTCCCTTTTATTCCAGAAGTTGTGTCCTTAACGGCTTAAAAGGTATACACACTAGTAAACTGTTTAAGTATAACAACAAATGAGATTAAGATCAGTAAATGTTTAGGCACATTAGAAGTGATAGCGCTGACATTATTTGAATCCACTGTGTAAGGAATTTACTAGTTGTGGTATTGGCGTGTTTGGGGGGAGTGGCACACTGGTTGAAAATATTGTTAAACATATTTTAAAACTTTTCACTGTTTAGTATAACAGGTTCTTTTTTAATGAGCAGCCAACTAATAGCTTTTGTGTGTTATATCACCTCCTGTGTTAAAGCCTATTCTATTCTATATACAGCAAAGTGAAATTCATGCCAATCCTTAGAACCGCTACAATAAACTGAAATGATAAAATACGCCCTGATTTAATAAACCATAAGGAGTGTATCACCTAGACTTTCCCTTTAAAAATTTACCACAATGCAACATGAAAAATTGGACCACGAGGGAAGATTCAAAACTCAAGAAATGTATAGAATCTGGCAAAGTTCTAGAAGTTTTTTTTTTACTCGCAGTTTAGAAAGTGATCATATAAAATTTCTAAACAAGAGGTGGAATTTGACGTTGGACGCTCTTGTCTAGAACATAAAAGCTTTGGATAAAGGGAGTGTTTAATGACAAATCAGAAAATAATAAACTTCTTACATTTTGCAGACAATTGTGTTTCCTAGACATTTCAGACTAAATCCCGTCACGCTTTTGAAGTAACTGAATGTGTTTGAAGCGCAGTCTGAGCTCGGTGTGGTCAGGAAAGCAGAGACCGCACGCAATGACTGTCAGAATGCAGAACTGGTGAGCGCGAGGGGAGCGAAATACAGAACTCAATCCCACCCAACACAGACTGGGCAAGGAAGGGAAACAGAGAAGCTTAATGCGTTTTAAAATGACATTTAAAAATAAATAAATTATCCTGCATTTATTGCAAATCCCCTGGGTGTCCAACTGTTAAACCGGGATTTAGTGGACACCTGTCACCGAATATTAACAGACCAGGGCCAATTAGTCCTATGTCTAAGTGTTTGGAAGGAACGGAGACGGTCAATAGATCACCCCTGCGTCACTTCCATAGATGGTTTGCGATGCGGCACGCGAGTAATGTGGCCTCGGGACAGCTCTTATGCCATTGGTTGAGGCTGAGCAATAAGCTTTGCCTCGTGCCATTTTGTCGCGGGAAAATAAACGTATAAAAGGTCTGTGAGGCAAATCTGACAGACTGACAAAGAATTAGGCAGCTTCCCTCCCTTTCTACCAGTTTATATAAAAATGAATGTTGTGGTCTTTATTTGAAAATTGAATTTGCCTGCCTAAATAACTGGGGGGTAAAGATTAACATGGGTTGTGCCCGCTCAAATCTCAACGTTTAGGTGAATTACTTGTGAATACATAAATACATTAGAATCGGTCATAAAAATCGAAGTACCTGGACGTAATGGCGGTATAGACACGATAAAGAAAATACAATTTTTCTATTTAACCAAGATATTGCAAATTTTAAGCCAAAAATAGCAGAGTTTGAGAATTTTTATAACATTTTGGCCTACAATTTGCACTTCTCCAGTTTCCAAATTAGTAAATAAACTTCAATAGAAGATATTGGTTTTTAGGTCCTTTAAAAAAGACAAACACAAAGCCTTATTATAACTAAATTATTGCTTCTTGACTTACAGAACCAAGTCTGGAATGGTTTTTAAATCACGCACACACTTACCCCGCAGTGCGGCACACCTACCTCCTGCTTACTCAGCGTCTTTATAGGACTTGGAGAATTTCTAACTTTACAAATAGATAAGTCACAAACCAAAAAAGGAAACCATTTCAGCTTCAGACTTCCTTTAAACCCCTGTAACACTGTATCGGGAGGGAACGAACACACAGCGGGTTCATTTGGGCTTTTTAATTCTTAGCAATAATGGTATGGTAGAGATTCCTTATCCTTCATGGAGGTCAGTAAGGGTCTCTGGTATCTATGTAGAGAGGGTGATGATTAGCCAGAGGAGGTAAACAATAGGATTTTATTTTAGGAAGGGTCAAAGGTCTCCATGGAAGGAATCTGTACAGAAACCAGGGGGGGGATTCTAAATGCAAGCTTCAAAGAAACAGAGGAATTCTGCGTAGCAACCACCGTATCATGGTCACAGGACAAAACTCGGGCACCCCCCCTTCCATATTTCTCTTCCTGACAGACACACGTCCTCGCTGATGCCTGCACTGACAGACACACAGTCATTGTCACACTGTTTAACCAACACACACACACATTCACAGTCATTAACTCATTCACCGACAGACACACATACACACTGACAGACACGCATTCACACTCACCGACAAATGCACACACTGTGTCAAACATAAACTGAGACACACATATACTCAGCGACAAGACACACATACACACTGACTGGCAGAAATGCACATACACTCAGTGTCAAACACACATTCACTGACAGATACATTCTGACAAACACACACACACACACACACACACACTCTCAGTGACACAAACACACAAAAAAAATAAAAGAAACACACATATACATTCACTGACAAACACAAACTCTCAGTGATAGAGGCACACACACACACACACACACTCTGTGTCAAACATACACTGAGACACACATATACTCACCGACAAGACACACATACACACTGACCAACAGAAATGCACATACACTCAGTGTCAGACACACACACATATACATTCACTGACAAACAAAAACTCTCAGTGATAGACACACACACACACTCTCTGACTAACAGACACACAAAAATTTAAAGTACAATCCACCCAGCCTCCCTACCTTTGGGAGAGCTGGAGTGGATTCTTCCCTGGGGAGTGACATCATATCCCGGCTCCGGCATCACTGCAGGGTATGCGCCTCCATCATCAGCATATGGCAGCCTTGGGAGCCCCCGCAGGACAAGAGGCTGCCCCCATTAAAGTGCCGCCCAAGACAAATACCTTGTCAGCCTCGCGCCAAACACAGTGCTGACTGCACCACACACACACACACATACACTACATTCCACACACACACACTCTGGATTGCTTATGCACACAATGGATCCCATACACTACATTCCCTAAACACACGCACTTTAGATCATCTATACGTACATACATGCACTACAGCCCCTGTGCACATTCTCGCTACAACTCCTATACACACTCTCTCTATGCAGCCCCTAGACACACAAATTACACCACAAACATAACAATTGAACTGACCTATTTACACAACACCACATCACAAACATTTCACTCTACACACACACAATCCCACAAGGACAATACGCTTTCCTTGTATCCCACTTATAGAGACAAGTCACACGTACACACAGGGCAAGCATGTTAATAAATTTGCTTGCGCTGTGCAGAACAAATACAGGGTCTTTTTCTCATGCTGGAGCTCTTCAGCAGAGCTCTGCGCATGGGCTGCCCTGGAAGAGCACTGAACCAACATGCTCACTTAGAGGGGGGGGTGTTTATCAATGGTGATCATAAAACACCCCCCTCTTCTCCGTGGGACGCTGTGATATAAAAAAAAAATTTTTTTTTAAAAGCCCGGGCCAAATTATTTTCCCCAGTCCGTCGCTGCCTACAAAACATTCTATTAAACTAGTGGACTGCGCCAGGACTCGGTAATACAGCCTAGAGCTCTACAATAGTATCTTCCCAACCCTGTGCACAGCTAGTATTCAACGCAGGACACCTGCGGTCCATAAAAGAACCCTATAGAACCATTTTTACATCTATTTCTGAATAAATGTAAAAAGGATTAATTAATACAGGAATAAGAACAGACGGAAACACAATGGGCGTACACTTCCCAAAACCAACAAAATAATAATAATAATAATAATAATAATAATAATAATAAGGCAACACAGAGCAGAGCGGCATTGATAGTTTATATGCACCTTACACATGTCAATAACTGGGACTATACGGCACCTAGCTGAAAGAATCCAGCAAATACCAGGTACGTTTTCAGGCCGTTAGCAAAACGGTTTAACTACTTACATTGGGGGTTTACTGGGGCATTCCTGACACCATAACCACTGAAGTGCTCTGCAGTAGTTATGGTGCTTGTAGTCTTTCTTTAAGTTTAAGGGGACTTTCGATGTTTTAATCAATTATGTAAATTGAATTCTATAGACGTGCCAGTTCCCCCTTTATAGAAATATTTTATTACAAAAAAAGATTTAAAAGAAAAAAGGCAGAGTTACAATTAAAAACATCAATTAATAGTAAATAAAAAAAAAAATCACACTCATGTTTCACAAAACATCAAAACCAGCGTGAATGAAATGCCAGCT